GTGTGTGTGTTAGGGGAATTTATTTAAGATTTTATTTATTCATGAGAGACACACAGAGACATAGGCAGAGGGAGAAGCAGGCTCCCTGCAGGGATCCCCATGCAGGACTCTATCCCAGGACCCCGGGATTACAACCTGAGCCAAAGGCAGACGCTCAACCACTGAGCCACCCAGGTGCCCCAGAATTTTTTTTTAATCTATTTAATGTAGGTAAATCAATTAACAGTGGTACATCCAGACATAATATTCAGTCATAAAAAGAAATGAGCTATTAAACCATTGAAAGACACAGAGGGAACTTCAATGTATATTATCAAGTGAAAGAAGCAATCTGTGAAAGTTACATACTCTGTGAGTCCAAATATATGCCATTCTGGAAAAGACAAAACTGGAGACGTCAGAGGTTGCCAGAGGTTGGCGGGGAGGAAGGGATGAATAGGAGGGGCACAGGGGCATTTAGGACAGTGAAACTACTCTGTGATAACTATAATGGTGGATACATGTCATTATGTATTTGTAAAACACATAGTGTACAACACCAAGAGGAGTAAACCTTAATGTAAATTATAGACTTTGGATGATAATGATATGTCCATGTAGGTTTATCAGTTGAAACAAATGTACTATTCTGGTGGGGGATGTTGTTAATGGAGGAGACTGTGCATATGTGTGGGCAGGGGTTTGTAAGAACTCTGTAGTTATGCTCAATTTTGTTGTGAACCTAAAACTGTTCTAAAATATAGCTATTTTAAAAAATAAACATACCAAGTCCCAACTTAAAACAAAATATAATATATGCATTTATGTTCTTGCCTCTGAAAGTCTTGCCACAGGGCATGACTTCTCATGCCTTCTTTCTTTGGATATCAAATAGAGCCTGGTCAACTCCTAAGGAAAATTGCCTTCTTGTTTCTTAAGTCAAAACGAAAATCCAAGCCTCTCAGGAAAAGCTGCGTGCCCCTTAGACATTTTAGACTAAGCTACAGTATGCAACGTAAATGCACTTTTTTGTGTGCATAGATTTTAATATAGCTGATAAGTTGTTAGAGATGGAAGGAACCAATGCTTCTTAAACTTTTTTGGAAGTCCTTAGGATCTCCCATAATACTGAATTCCTTGTACTGAGACAAAATGGAAAATGACTGCACAAAAGAGGCCCACAAGGAGGGGATCCTTGGGTAGCTCAACGGTTTAGTGCCTGCCTTTGGCCTAGGGCGTGATCCTGGAGACCCAGGATGGAGTCCCATGTTGGCTCCCTGCATGGAGCCTGCTTCTCCCTCTGCCTGTGTCTCTGCCTCTCTCCCTGGGTCTCTCAATAAATAAAAATCTTAAAAATATATATATTTGGTCTTTGTCTTATTTCTAGCCCCGATATCCTAAAGTCCTTGGTATTTCCTAAGCGGTAAGAGCAGTAAAGGTGTGTTTTTAACAAATTCCAGTATAGTCAACACACAGTGCTATTAGTTGCAGGTGTACAACATAGTGATTCAACAGTTTCATATATTACTCAGTGCTCATTAGGATAAGTGCCCTCCTTAATCCTCTTCACCTATTTCATTCATCCCCCACCCCACCACCACCCCTCTGGTAACCATTTGTTCTCTGTATTTGAGTGTTTTTTGGTTTTCCTCTAATAAAAGTGTCTTGATATTCATAACAAACTCCTTTCAACCACACCTGTTTATATTAATGAGATGACTTTCTGAAAACACCTAAGAACAGGAGCTAGTTGCCAGGGGAACTCACGTGTGATTAGGGGTTGAATTTTCTGCCCCACCTCCCTGACTTTCAGGGAGGGGAGAAGAGCTACAGGTTGAATCAACAGATAATGGCCAATAATTCACTCAGTCGATCCCTCATCATTAAGCCTAAGATAAAAACTCAGAAGGCTAGAGTCTGGAGAGCTTCCTGGGTGGTGACACGGAGATTTGAAGTGAATGGTATGCTTGAAGAGCATGGTAGCTCCATGCTCTGCATTTCTTCCAACTGGCTGTTCCTCAGTTAATTGGTGGATGGGAAGCCCACGTGTTGGAGGTAGGGTCAAGAATACTCAAAATCGAGTTTCAAATCATTTTTATTTCTAAAACAAATGACAACTAAAGGTGTGGGGGATTAGGTGAAGAGAAGCAGTGAAATTAGCACCAATAAATGTTCAAGGGATCTGCAGAGTTCTGGTCATAAGATGTGCAACTCTGCTTTCAAAGTACTTAACTACTTAATTAAGTACTTCTTAATTAGTATAAGAAGTAAAACTTAGAAATCATGCCGCTGTTGTCAGGTTCCATGAGAAGTATAAGTCACCGTGGGGGAATGACCTTCGTTTGTAGCCTACTGAAAAGCTAATATGCTAATCTGTTACTGTTCCATGGTAGTAGACACATTCTGGATCAAAGAGAAATCTACTACTCATGACAAAAGCAGTGGCCAGAGCTTCATTTGTCAGTTTCCCATACTCCCCAAGTCCCATTGAGGAGACGGGGAGTCAGGCAGAGATGGATGTCTGCCCATGCAGTGGGTTGTGTTACAGGAAAGGAATACTGAGTTGGGGGGATTTCCTTTTAAAGTAAATGGAAGCAAGCCTGCTCCTAGGGAAAGACATTAACTCAGCTCTGAAGATCTGTCACCCCCCAAAACCCTGAGAAATGACCTGAATAAAGACCAATCAAAACCTCTTGTTTTGGGTATACCTAGCAAGAATTCACAAAGACATTAAGGGCCATGGCAGAGTGTCCCTCCCAATAGTATGCTAGGTTCATGGGACGGTGGAAGAAGATGGGTAAATTCTATTACAAGGCTTGAACAAAGGCTTCAAGGAGGTGATATTTAAGCTGTGTTTTCGTAAGGGGGGGGGGTAAATGTTCATCAAGCAGACATGGGAAGAAGAAAAGGTAATTCGGCCTGAGATCCAGCCGGAACACAGGTGTGGAAATTTGATAAAGGTTTGGTATGCTCAGAAGTTTTACGAGGGTCTCCTCATAGCTATAGCTTCCAGGACAAGGTATGACGAATGTGAAGGCTAGGGAAGCAGTGGTCCACTGTGACAGAGGGTTCTAAAGATAATGAAGCCTCTTGTCTACCTTGGTAAAAAGTCTGAATGTCATGTAGGCAATGAGGGACCACTGAAGGAGATCGTAAGCCGGAGAATGCTATGATTAATCTGGTGTATGTTTTAGAATGATCACTCTGGATTACCAGATAAAAATGGTGTCTTGGGGATCCCTGGGTGGCTCAGCGATTTAGCACCGCCTTCAGCCCAGGGTATGATCCTGGAGACGTGGGGTTGAGTCCCACATCGGGCTCCCTGCATGGAGCCTGCTTCTCCCTCTGCCTGTGTCTCTGCCTCTCTCTCTCTCTCTGCCTCTCATGAATAACTAAATAAAATCTTAAAAAACAAAAAACAAAAACCACCTTCACTCTGGCAGCAATTTAGAGTTGAAGCTGAGTGAGATTGGATAAGCTTTAGGGAAAAGTTGACCAAGAGGACCTGAACTAAGGTAGCAGTTGTGGAAATGAAGAGGAGAGCATTTTTTAAAAAAAATTTTATGGGCAGCCCAGGTGGCTCAGCGGTTCGGTGCAGCCTTCAGCCTGGGGCCTGATCCTGGAGACCCGGGATAGAGTCCCATGTCGGGCTCCCTGCATGGAGCCTGCTTCTCCCTCTGCTTGTGTCTCTGCCTCTCTCTCTCTCTCTCTCTCTTCCCCCCTCCCCCCGTGTGTCTCATGAATAAATAAATATTTAAGAAATAAAAAAATAAAAAATTTTATTTGAGAGACAGGCTCATGCGTGAGTAGGGAGGAGAGGCAGTGGGAGAAGCAGACTCCCCATGGAGCAGGGAGCTGGACTCAGGGATTCAATCCAAACACCTGAGTTTATGACCTTAGTCAAAGGCAGACACTTACCTGACTGAGCCACCCAGGTACCCCAAGAACATTTTTAAAATGCAGATTGTAGGCCCCTCAGTAGAAAACTAGTTCAGAACCTGTGGAGACAGGAATCAGATTAACATCACCACGGGTGATTTTGATGTAATCAGCTAGACTTTGAGATTGGAGACTGGAGACCTAGGGTCTAGTTGGCTGGGGGGGAGGGGGTGGGGAGGTGGGGGGGGGAGGGGGCAGTGGCATCTAGGTTTCTCTACCAGCAAGGTGGATGATGGTGTCATTCTCAAATACAGAAACATGTTTGGGGAACCCGTGGCTCCAGAAAAAAGATGATAGTTTAAGTAGCCTGTGGTACATCCTGGTGAAACTGCCACCAGCCGATATAGCTCTTTGCTTGGATTAATGCTGGTTTCTTGCCACTGATACCTAAGGACAGGAAAATGTCCCATGACTTTTCATATACAGGTGTCAATACTGGGCTGTTTCCTCAGTCCTTCAGCAAAAAAAAATTTAAAAACCTGATCATTTCCTCTGTGCTGTTGCAGAGTACCTTTAAAATAACACTATTGGGGATCCCTGGGGGGCTCTACGGTTTAGCGCCGCCTTCAGCCCAGGGCGTGACCCTGGAGACCTGGGATCGAGTCCTGCGTCGGGCTCCCTGCATGGGGCCTGCTTCTCCCGCTGCCTGTGTCTCTCTCTCTCTCCTCTCTCTCTATGTCTATCATGAATAAATAAATAAATCTTAAAAAAAAAAAAGCTTTTTAAAAAAATCCACCTACTGTGGTAGTTCACTATTTCCTCTTCCTTCACAATCTTAGACAGTGTCTTTCTCTCCACTTCGCGGACAAGGAGAGACTGCGGCTCTGAATTAAAGTATCTTGGCAAGTATGAAAGGGCACGACACCAAGCTGGGCAGCTCCACAGTCTTTGCAAACGCTGTCACGAGCCCAGCGTGACCCCAACAGGTGCCTGGAGCGAAAACACGGCCAGCTCCCCTCGCAGGCCCGCTCGGTCCCCTCGGGAGGGGGCGGGGCACGGTGGCTGCCGCCGATCGCGCGAGCTGACGTCACTGCGGCGACGCAAACACTGCGCAAGAGCGCGCCTCTTACGTCCCGGCGGCCCGCGCGGTGGGCACGCTTCCCCCCGGGAGAGCGGCTGCGTCTCTCACGTGTGTGTGTGTGTGGAGAGATCCCGGGGTCGGGCTGCTGGACGGTCCAGACGGGCTCAGGCTTCTGCCGCGACCCCCACGCCTTCCGAGTGAGTCTCGCGGGAGGCGGTATCCCGCGGCGGCCTCTGTGAGGGAGGTGAAGGAGGGTGAGGCCTCGGGGCCACCGCCACCGCCTCGCCTCCGAGGTAGGTCAGTGGCCTCTGGCAGGTGGTGTCGAGCCAAGACTAACCTGACGTGTGTGATTTCTTCAGAGCTCCTCAGCCTCGGACCCTCTGCCCCTTCATTCTGAAAGAGACCAGCCTGCTCCACCCACTTGCTGCTGTGGTTTGGAAGCGCAAATGAAAACGTGTTTGGGGGGAGCTCTAAGGTGCATTGTTATTTTATTTATTCATTCATGAGAGACCTACACACAGAGAGGCAGAGACACAGGCAGAGGAGGAGCAGGCTCCATGCGGGGAGCCCGAAGCGGGCCTCGACCCCGGAACCCCAGGATCACGCCCTGGGCCAAAGGCAGGCGCCAAACCGCTGAGCCACCCAGGTGTCCCAAGGGCATTGTTATTAAATGTAGTTATATGATGTAAATTAAGCCCGTGGATACGGCAAAATAAAGTGTCTAGGTTATTTAACTGTCTTTAACTGGTAAACTAGGGAGAGGGCCCCGCCCCCCAGCACTAGAATTTGTTGACACTTGTAAGCGCTTTGAGGACTAAATACATGGCCCCTGCCGCTGTAAATGAAGTAGCGAGTATCTTTATTTTTTATTTTTATTTTTGACTATTTTTAACTTAATGATTCCGTTACGTATAAAATCAGCTTACCAGTTTTTCTTTTTCTTTTTTTTTTTTTTTCCTGTTTTGCTTTTTCCCCCTCGTTATGAGGTCTCAGAAGATACTGGGTGACCAAGAAGGTCTTGTTGTTTTTTTTTTTTTTAATATAGTATTTATTGGAGAGGATGGATTTGTGATTGTTAATGAAAATAAAAACCCGGGCAACCCCGGAGGTTCAGTGGTTTGGCGCTGCCTTCGACCCAGGGCGTGATCCTGGAGACGTGGGATCGAGCCCCATGTCGGGCTCCCTGCATGGAGCCTGCTTCTCCCCCTGTGTCTCTGCCTCTCTCTCTCTCTCTCTCTCTCTCTCTCTCTCTCTGTGTCTCTCATGAATAAATAAACAAAATCTTTAAAAAATAAAAAATAAATAAAAAATAAAAACCTTACACAATAGATCTTGCCTTAAGTCTCTGTAGCAACTGCTCGGAAACTGGTAGTTAAAAGTAGAAAAACATGAACATATATGGTGAGTGTTGCAATTTGTTATAAAAATGTCATTTAAGTTCACCTTATAATCTTGCCCTTTTGATGTCAGGTATTTTGGAGTATAGTAATCAGAATGTCCTTGTGGAAAACTAACTGCTGTAATTGTTTTTTGCATTAAAAAATGCATTCTTGAAAAAAATGCATTTTTGGGGACACCTACACTAACATTTTTGTGAAAATGCCTTACTATAGTGTAAAAAATCTATTGTCATAGAAAAGAATAGCAGAAGATCTCCTTCTGCACTGACTATACCTCCTCTGATAAACTCATTTGGCATAATTAATGTGTGCTATGGACCGTCTTCTTTATATAATGATCATTTATGTGTAGGAGGAGAAGTTTAAAATTTTAATCTTGTACATCATAAAAGAATGTGGAAATGCTTACTAAAAATACTGTATTAAAGTTATATTTTTAAACTTTATATTTAGAAATCCTAACATTTTCAAACCTATGAGTCTCAATAGTTGGTTCATTTTGCTCTTTAGGAATATTTTTTCTAATTCATATAAATTAACTTTCATCTGTAAGATTTAATTTTGAATCCATGAAATCAGCTCAAATACGTATGAACAAATAAAAAAAACTTAAAATAGGTTACTTGGTAAATCTTGTTTTTGAAATATGGAAAAGAGTTCACAGAAGGAAAAAAATTACCTTTATTCTCAAGGAAATACTAGCTGTTATTTCTTCTAAAACAATGATCCCTAAAGTTTTTTGGGTTTTGTTGGGGTTTTTTTTTTTTTTTTGATGAAATACTGTTTAAAATCTTTTATATTTTTGAGAAGTTCAGAGAATATTGCATTGATACAATGCTCTCTGGAGTTGTAATACTATAGTTTAAATGAATTTACTGGCATCTTATTTTTATTTTTTTTAAGATTTTATTCATTTATTCATTAGAGACAGAGAGAGAGAGACAGAGACACAGGCAGAGGGAGAAGCAGGCTCCATGCAGGAAGCCCAACATGGGACTCTGTCCCGGGACTCCAGGATCATGCCCTGGGCTGAAGGCGGCGCTAACCCATTGAGCCACCAGGGCTGCCCAATTTATTGGCATTTTAAAAATAAGTTCCTCAAGAATTATAAATGTGACTTGATGTGACCTGAAGTGTTATAATAAATAATATAGTTTATATTATTGGGTTAAAATTGGATGGATTTAGATAGTTTTTCCCTTTTTCTACCTAAGGTTTATTTACTCTTCCCTAAGTTCATTTCCTAAAAGCACAGTTTATTTGCATTAGTCTTTGCAAAGATAATGTGCAGGATTTTAACCACTTATCTTTTTTTTAAATATTTATTTATTCAATTAATTAATTAATTAATTTTAGACATAGAGAGAAAGGCAGAGACACAGGAGGAAGGAGAAGCAGGCTCCATGCCAGGAGCCCGACGCAGGACTCGATCCCGGGACTCCAGGATCGCGCCCCGGGCCAAAGGCAGGTGCTAAACTGCTGAGCCACCCAGGGATCCCCTTAACCATTTATCTTAATCTGGGACAATAATGAAAGAAAAATGAAAAAATTAAGCATATAGTGCTTGAAATTGAGTTTTATTGGTTAATTTTTTGTATTTTTTTTTCACATTTGTGGACGGTTGAGAGAGACCACACTTTTTACCTGTTTCAGTCTCCTCATGTTTTGTTCATACTGCTCTTTCCCCAAATTTTCTTCCAGCTTTGACCCAGTGTTAGGTCAGTGGTATCAGATTAATTTTCATCCTCCTTGTTCTCACCATAGACAATTCCTAGGTTCAGAGATTGTTTTTGATATAGTTGTTTTTGTGAGGAATGATTTGTATAGAATTTTCTTTCTCCCTTTCTCACCCTACCAGGTTCCCTAAAACTCCCTGTCCCCATATTTCTGTATATAGGTAGAGTTCTCTGCTACCAATGATGTTTAGAGAAACTTCAGTGAAATGACTCTTCAGGAATTGGTACATCAGGCTGCCTCCATTTATTCAGATAAAATAGCTGTCTGTTTTGATGAGTGTAACAACCAGCCTCCAGTTTATTACACCTATAAGACTGTGGTGAATGCTGCTTCAGAATTATCAAATTTTCTACTCCTACACTGTGACTTTCAAGAAATTCAGGAAGTTGGTCTCTACTGCCATCCCGGAATAAACTTACCCTCTTGGATTTTAGGGTAATTCTTTTAATATTAATTTGTTTTCTAGCCTAATATAATCTTTAATATATAGAATATGTTGTAACTTACTGTTATTTTTACTATTGTATCTTTATGTATTGCTTGTTCAATTTTAGGCTAAAGGAGTTCATATTTCCCCAAGATTATTTTTAATCATTTTAAGTTAATTAATCTGAACTTACATAGGAGAGCCAAGAAGCTTTTACTAATAGAATATTTAAATATCTCCAAAATACATGGGTTTCATTTGTCTACCAAAAGAAAACAGTCATAAATTCTGTTCTTATATCAATGAAAACAATTATTTCAGAAATAATGTGACTTTTTTTTTCCTCCTGAGACTGAAGTTTTAGGTACTCAGGTATTCAGTAAGTGAATGAATGAATGAGCGTTTTGGGTGATGATTCATAAAAATTGAGCAGTGAACTGCGGAAGACGCTAATTCAAACAATCATTTGCAAAATGTTCATTATTAAGCTGTTCTAGAATATTATCCTTATATCATGACTTACGTCGTAGGGTTCTGCAAGAAATCAAGGCTGCTAAAAAATTAGAAGTTGATATTCATCCCATAGGATATATGTTAGTAGGTTAGTTGTATAAATGTAAAGCAAAAAAAGTTAGTTTCCCTTTTATCCAATCATTGACAAAATTTTATTGAGAATTACTACAAAAATCTGTTGTCTTCAAAGTACTTGTTTTTTTTAGATTTTATTTTGAGATAATCTATACACCCAAAGTGGGGCTTGAATCCACAACCACAAGATCAAGAGTCATATACTCTACCAACTGAACCAGCCAGGTCTCCCTACCTCAAAGTACTTTTAGTTAAAACAGCTAACTGATTTTGCATCTTATTGCCACTTAAAAATGAATTTTAAAGTTGTCCCCTCCCCCTTAAGGTATCCTGGTTTTGTGGAGATGTCTTTTAGTATACAGATTGTATTAATCTGCATACTAGTAAGTTATGTGTAGGTATTTAGCTTATGTTATCCTAGTTAGATGAAGAAATGACTCTGCTACCAGCTTGGTATTTTAGTAGTAGCATTAACCAAGTATATTCTACTGTAATATATTAGCTTTAAAAAATGTTGGATTTCTGTAAGTTAAGTGATTGATAGAAATTTAATGATGGGTATTCTGTCTTAAAAGACAAAATAAAAATAACTATAAAGATGGGGTCATCAAAAACATTTGGCATTTCTGATACAGTCAGTAGTAAAGCGCATAGAGAAATAGAAATACTTAAAGATCATTTTCAACAGATCTTCTATGCTGACTCTGTACTGTTTCTTTAGAATTCTCCAAGTCCCTGCTGCTTATGCTCCTATTGATCCAGATTCACCACCAGCATTATCAACTCATTTCATGAAAAAATGTAATCTAAGTTATATTCTTGTTGAAAAACAGCAAATTAATGTAAGTGTGTTTAAATTTATGTGCTACGTTTATCTTTCAGATGAAGGGTGTTTGTGTGTATGTACGTACGTACATCACAGCATCTTTATCCATTTATTTTTTGGACCAGGTTGCTTCCATATCTTGTCTACTGTAAATAGTGCTGCAATAAACAAGAATGCGTATATCTTCTTGAATTATTGTTTTCATTTTTCTTTGGTTAAATACCCAGTAGTGGGCAGCCCGGGTGGCTCAGCAGTTTAGCGCCGCCTTCAGCCCAGGGCCTGATCCTGGAGACCCGGGATCGAGTCCCACGTCGGGCTCCCTGCATGGAGCCTGCTTCTCCCTCTGCCTGTGTCTCTGCCTCTCTCTCTCTCTCTGTGTGTCTCTCATGAATAAATAAAATATTTAAAAAATAAAATAAATACCCAGTAGTGGAATCATTGGGTCCTATGGCATTTTTGAGGAACCTCCATACCGTTTGCCACAGTGACTGCACCAGTTTACATTTTTACCAACATTGTGTGAGGGTTCCTTTTTTTCCTCTACATCCTCATCAATGCCTATTTCTTTAAAAAAATTTTTTTTAAAAGATTTTATTTATTTATTCATGAGAGACACAGAGAGAAGCAGAAGGAGAAGCAGGCTCCCTGCAAGGAGCCCAATGCGGGACTTGATCCTGGACCCCGGAATCACTCCCTGAGCAAAAGACAGACGCTCAACTGCTGAGCCACCCAGGCATCTCTCTATTTCTTGTCTTTTTAATTCTAGACATTCTGACAGATGTGAAGTGATAGCTCATTGTGGTTTTGATTTGCATTTCCCTGATGATTACTGATGTTGAGCATCTTTCACATGTCTATTCACCATTTGTAAGTCAGCTTTGGAAATGTCTATTCAGTTCCTCTGCCTATATTTTAATTGGATTATTCGTTTTGGTTTTTGTTTATTTTTGTGTGTGTTGAATTGGATAAGTTCTTCATATATTTTGGATATTAACCCCTTATCAGATATATCATCTTCTCCCATTTAGTAGGTTACCCTTTTGTTTTGTTGATGGTTTACTTCTCTGTGCAGTCTTTTTTTATTTTGCTGGTGTCCCAGTAATTTGTTTGCTTTTGTTTTTCTTGCTTGAGGAGATGTATCTAGCAAAATGTACTAGGATGATGTCAAGGTGATTATGTTCTGTGTTTTTTTCTAAGAGTTTAATGGTGTCAGATCTCACATTTAGGTCTTTAGTCCACATTGGATTTATATTTGTGTGTGGTGTTAGAGAGTGGCCCAGTTTTATTTATTTTTTTTTTTTTTTGTTTTATTCTTTTGAATTTAGCTGTCCAGCTTTCCCAGCACCATTTATTGAAGAGACTCTTTTCCTAATTGCATATTCTTGCCTGTTGTGTTGTAGATTAATTGACCATGTAAGCATGTGTTTCTTTCTGGACTCTGTTCTGTTGATCTGTTGTCTGTTTTTGTGCCAATACCATACTGTTTGATTACTAAAGCTTTGTAGTATATTTTGAAACTGGCATTGTGATACCTCTAGCTTTCTTCTTCCCTAAGATTGCTTTGGCTATTTGGGGTCTTTTATGGTTCTATACAAATTTTAGGATTCTTTGTTCTAGATCAGGAAAAAAATGGTATTTTAAGTCATGGCAATCAGTGCAAAGGGATTGCTTTGAATCTGTAGATTTCTTTGCATGATATGGATGTTTTAACAATATTCTTCCAATCATTGACCATGAAATACTTTTCGTTTATGTTATCTTCACTTTCATCAGTGTCTTAGTTTTTTAGTACAGTTTTTACCACCTTAAATTTATTAATAGGTATTTTATTATTGATATAATTGTTAATGGGATTATTTCTTTATTCTGCTACTTTGTTAGTATATAGGTATGCAACAAGTTTCTGTATGTTAATTTTGTATTCTGCAACTTTACTGAATTCATTTATTAGTTTTTTGATGAAGTCTTTAGGGTTTTCTATTAGTATCATGTCATCTGTAAATAGTAACAATTTAATTTTTTTCTTACCAGTTTAGATGTCTTTTTTCTTTCCTCTCTTATTGCTGTGGCTAGGACTTTCAATACCATGTTAAATAAAAGTGAGTGGGTATCCTTGTCTTGTTCCTGATCTTGGAGGAAAATCTGTTTTTCACCATTGAGTATGGCCTTTATTATGTTGAGGCATGTTCCCTCTCTTTGGGAGGTTTTTTTTTGGTTTGTTTTAAAGATTTTATTTATTTATTCATGAGAGAGACAGAGGCAGAGGCAGAGGGAGAAGCAGGCTCCCTGCAGGGAGCCCAATGGAGGACTCGATCCCAGGACCGCAGGAATCCTGCCCTGAGCCAAAGACAGAATGCTCAACTGCTGAGCCACCCAGGTGTCCCTGGGAGTTTTTATCATGAACGATGTTGAATTTTGTCAAATACTTTTTCTGCATCTATTGAGAGGATGCAAATAAATTTTTTTTTTAATTTATTCATGAGAGACACAGAAAGAGAGAGGCAGAGACATAGACAGAGGGAGAAGCAGACTCCATGCAGGAAGCCTGATGTGGGATTCAGTCCCGGGGCTCCAGGATCATGCCCTGAGCTGAAGGTAGGCGCTTAACCGCTGAGCCACCCAGGCGTCTCAAAAGGATGTGATTTTTATCCAGTTTGTTAATGTGGTTTATTACATTGATTTGTGAATATTGGACCATTCTTGTGTCCTTGGAATAAATCACATTTGATTATGGTGAATGATCCTTTTAATGTATTGTTGAATGAGATTTGCTAGTATCTTGAGGATTTTTGTATCCATGTTCATCAGGGATGTTGTCCAGCAGTTTTTTTTGTAGGGTCTTTAAAAAAATTTTTTTTGCATTTAGTGTTTATTCAGGTTTTTGTTTGTTTTTGTGAGTCTGGCTAAAGATTTATCACTTTTGTCTTTTCAAAAACTCTCTTGGTTTCATGGATCTTTTCTATTCATGGATCTTTTTAGTCTGTTTCATTTGTTTCTGTTTTGATCTTTATTTCCTTCCGTTAACCTTGGGCTTGCTTTATTCCTTTTCTAGTTCCTTTAGGTGTAAGATTAGATTGTTTGATTTTTTTCTTGTTTCTTGAGGTAATCCAGCATCACTATAAATTCTCTCAGAACTGATTTTGGTGCATCTTAAAGGTTTTATTTTTATTTATTTATTTATTTTTAAAAATTTATTCAGAGACACAGAGGGAGAGAGACATAGACACAGGCAGAAGGAGAAGCAGGCCCCATACAGAGCCTGACGTGGGACTTGATTCCGGGTCTTCAGGATCACACCCTGGGCTGCAGGCGGCGCTAAACCGCTGCGCCACTGGGGCTTACCCCATCTTAAAGGTTTTAGACTGTTGTTTTCATTTGTCTCCATGTATTTTTTTTTTAATATTTTATTTATTTATTCATGAGAGACAGAGAGAGAGAGGCAGAGACACAGGCAGAGAGAGAAGCAGGCTCCATGCAGGGAGCCCGATGTGGGACTCGATCCCAGGACTCCGAGATCACGCCCGGGCCAAAGGCAGACGCTCATCCGCTGAGCCACCCAGGCGTCCCTCCATGTATTTTTTTATTTTTATTTCTTCTTTGATATCTTTGTTGACCCATTGGTTGTTCACTAGCATGTTGTTTAGCTGCTGCAAACATTTACCTTTCAGTATGTTATGGTGTGGACCTCCGTGGGTTTACCTTGTTTAGAACTCTTTGTGCTTTCTGAACTTGGATATCTCTTTCATTTCCCAGGTTAGGGAATCTTCCTTACAGTTTTCTTAACATTTTATTTGTCTAGCTTATGTTAGAATACGAATATCGAATATAATACTTGTAACATTCAAAGTATAGATTAATTGACTTTATGTCCTCAGTAAGGTTTCTGGTCAGCTGTATGCTATTAGTAAAGTTTTGGGGGCATCAAGAGTTATTCATGGATTTTAGGGTTGGTGCCTCTAATAACCCTTGTGTTGTTCAAGGGTCAGCTGTGGTTAGAGAGAAAAGGACCATAATCCTGAATCTGTAAATTCTACATAGTGTGATATTGTGCTAAGGGAAGTAAATGTAACATAGTAGAGATGAGAAAAAATTTTTTTAAATTTATTTATTCATAGAGAGAGAGAGAGGCAGAGACACAGACAGAGGGAGAAGCAGGCTCCATGCAGGGAGCCCGATATGGGACTCGATCCTGGGTTTCCAGGATCACACCCCAGGCTGCAGGCAGTGCCAAACCGCTGTGCCACTGGGGCTGCCCGAGATGAGAAAATTTTAATAGGAAAAGATGGTTTTGAACTAAGTCTTAAAAATATATATTATATAGGTCCTCAGTTTTTTGTTTTTAATATTATAAGACACCATACTGGACCCTTAATATACACATAATGAACAAAAACAATATAGGCTCCTGTGTTGTGACCTTTTTTCTCATTTCTCTCCTCTTATTTTTCTCTTATTCATCTCACTTATAGTAATTAATGTGAAATGTTATGTTTCATTAAATTTCTTTATCAACCTGAAAAGGTATATTCAAGGGAACCTACTTGTAAGCATGTAAAAATTGAATTTAGCATCTTTTTATCTAAAGTAAATCTGTATTAGTCTCCATCTACCAAATAACTGAGCCAGAAACTCAGCAATCTTCTTAGGCTCACTCTGTATCCAGAAAGTTCTGCAGCCCTATTGATTCTTGCTCTTAGGCTCTTTTTGTCCACTCTTGTTGCAGCAGACTAGTTCGGGCCTACATAGCCTATCTCACTTGTTGCAAAAGGTTCGTTAGAAGACCCTCACTTATCAAAAGTCTTATCAGTCTATCCTTGATGGAGTAAAGTCTACCTATGCTATTGCCACCTTCAACTGGATCTTATTGTTTAGGTTAAGTTGTAAACCCCTTAGTATTTTTTTTTTAAGATTTTATTTATTTATTCATATGAGAGAGAGAGAGAGAAAGAGACAGAGACACAGGCAGAGGGAGAAGCAAGCTTCATGCAGGGAGCCCGACGTGGGACTCGATCCCCAGTCTCCAGGATCGGGCCTTGGGCTGAAGGCGGCGCTAAACTGCTGAGCCACCCGGGCTGCCCTATACCCCTTAGTATTGAGTATACAGAGTTATTAAGAATACTGTCTCCTCTCCTATTAACAACACTATTTACTTTCTCCCTCTCCCCCAGTTCTTCAACTTACTGGAATGCCTAACATTCTTCATAACACTGGCTTTCTCACTATCATATACTCTGCATTAGCTATTTGCCTAATAAAGCACTCCTTTATTTGGACAAAAGCTACTTATAATGCAAATATTACATGTGATGTAGCAATCTCAGACATTCCAGGCAGAGGTAAATTCAGTCTCCTCTTTTCCCATTAACGTTTGAAACATATTCACTGTCAAAATTATCACATTGCCCTGCAGTTGTTTTTATGTCTTTTTTTTTATTTTGAAGGTGACCTTGAAAGTAAGGATAGCACTGTATTCTTGCAGGTTTCTAATTTATTTATTTATTTTTAAAATATTTTATTTATTCATGAGAGATACACAGAGGAGGCAGAAACATAGACAGAGGGAGAAGCAGGCTCCTTGCAGGGAGCCTGGTGCCGGACTCAACTCAATCCTCAGACCTAGGATCCTGCCCTAGCTGAAGGCAGACGCTCAACTGCTGAGCCATCCAGGCGTCCCTCTGATTTATTTTTTTAATCTCTAGTTATATAGAAGTACTCAAAACCATATTGAAGAAGTAAATGAATATTTTGTATTCTGTGTAAAAAAAAAAAAGTTTTTAACATATTAATATCGTGAACTTTGTTCCCTGTGTAACAGAAATTCAAATCTTCCTATGAAACATTATTGAATTATGATACACCTAAGGAATATAATGACCTAGTACTCTTCAGACTTCACTGGAAAAATGCTGAAGTGAGTTTGATGCTAAATGACAGAAAACAGAATTATGAAAAAGAGAAAATGACAAACAGCACAAATTCTGAGAACAGCAATGCAGAAAAGACAGAAGAGCGTATGGATGTGAGGCAAAAGCATTGCTTGGCATATGTTCTCCATACATCAGGCACTACAGGGATACCTAAGATTGTCAGAGTCCCTCATGCATGTATAGTGCCAAACATCCAACATTTTCGGTGAGTTTTGTCCTTCAAATCCTTCTTCAAAATTTGTATTTTAAAGGGGAAAAAATTTTTCTTTAAGTAAACTCTATCCCTAACATGGGGCTTGATCTCACCACCCCAAGATTAAGAGTTGCATGCTGTACCAATTGAGCCAGCCAGGTACCCCAAGGGAAAAATTTTAATCTCTTTATAACTTTTTTTTTTAAGATTGACTTAGTTGAGAGAGAATGTGTGTGCACACAAGCAGGAAGGAGAGAGAGATAATCTCAAGCCAACTCTGCTAAGTGTGGAGCCTGATGCGGGGCTCAATTTCAAGACACTGAGATGGTGACCTGAGCCAAAATTAAGAGTCAGATGCTTTAACTGAGCCACCTGGATGCCTCTGGGTTTTAAAACCTTTGTTCCTAAATTGATAGTCATAAGTAATTAGGTCTTTTGTTGTGGCTATATCTGAACTTTAGTTCTTTGCTAGTTTGGACTTCATTTCTCTGATCCAGACCTGGAGCCAAACAGGGAGCAAACAAATAATATGGTTGAAGCTTTGTTTCTTAATTATTAAGAAGAAGAAAGTATATACCTGGCAGAGGTACAGCAGAAATCTGGAAGAAAGGAGTTTGGGTTTCTAGAGTATATGAGAGCTGAGGAAGGAGTGGGAAGGCAGGAGCCGTGTGACCTGAGAGGGCAGGAGTCTGGTATGCCCTGTTGAAGAATTTTGCACTTAAATCCAGTATATGTAAAAAGGTTTGCATTTCATTAAGTTCATTCCTATAGTATTGTAAAGTTTGGTTTGCTCATTGGCGGATGAGGAATCTCTATGTAGTCGACTCTCATTTGAGAGGAAAGAAGGAAACAGAAAGGGAACCAAAGGAGAGTAGTCTTAGGAGATCAAGAGAAAACAGAAACAAATATAGAAACTTAGACAAAAAAAAAAAAAACAAAAAAAAAAAAACAAAAAAAAAAAAAAAGAAACTTAGACAAATACGTATATTTACGTCATTTTAAGTTTTATATAATTAAAACTTGCTAACAACCACATTTTAAAAGTACAAAGAAATGGGTCAGTTAAGCATCCAACTCTTTTTTTTTTTTTTTATGATAGTCATAGAGAGAGAGAGAGAGAGAGAGAGAGAGAGGCAGAGACACAGGCAGAAGGAGAAGCAGGCTCTATGCACTGGGAGCCCGACGTGGGATTCGATCCCGGGTCTCCAGGATCGCGCCCTGGGCCAAAGGCAGGCGCCAAACCGCTGCGCCACCCAGGGATCCCCCAGCATCCAACTCTTGATTTCAGTTCAGGTCATGCTCTCAGGGTTGTGAGATCGAGCTCCCTGTCAGGCTCTGTGCTGGTCGTTGGAACCTCCTTAAGATTCTTTCTCTCCCTCTTCCTCTGTCCCTCTGCTCTCTCTCTCTCAAAAAAAAAAGTACAAAGAGAGTAGAGAAAATTTAACAATATTTTACTTAATTCAATATCTCTAAAATATCAATATGAAATCAATATGAAAATTAGTGAGGTATTTTACACTCTTTATGATTATCTTATTTTTTGATTATCTTAAATCTAGCATGATGAAGCTAGATTTAAGATAATTAAATCTATTTAAGATGAATTATGACTTTCCTATGCAGAAGGCAAAGTCATAGGTTAAGACTTTGAGAGGTGAGGTGGGATAGAGATGCAGGGAACTTGAAGAGAGTGGAGTAGATTTGGAATATGGTGGAGGTGGGAGAGGTTCTGGGCTGACAGAGGCAGGAATTATGTGTAAGTAGGAGCAAGTATCTACCCGGTGAGGGGTAAAGAGCTAATTTAAAGTATAGGATTTTTTTTTTTTTTTAGATTTTATTTATTCAGGAGAGACCTACAGAGACAGAAACATGGACAGAGGGAGAAGCAGGCTCCCCATGGGGAATCAGATGCAAGACTCTATTCCAGGACCCCAGGACCCCAGGATCACGACCTGGGAGCCATCCAGGTGTCCCAAAGAATAGGAATTTCTTGATTGCTGGTAGTGCTTGAATTTATTGAAATCTGTTTACCTGTTTAAAATCCCTTTTTGGTTTACTTTCAAGGCCATAAAAGTCACTCGCAGAGGGGATTTATAGTAGGTTCATTCTTGGTTTCCGTCCTGGGAATAAAAGTCACTCTGAAGAAGGAATTTATGGCAATTTCATTTTCCAGAAGTTTTTACAATTAGTCATATAAAGGAAGCTCTAAGAAGGCTTCTTTCCACATCTGTTAAATCCAAAATGTCCTCAGTTTAAAGTAATCTTCATACCAACTCTGGGCTTCTTAGTTGGTACCACAATATTATACTTGAAGATCTTTTGAAGTTAAGGTAATCCCTGCTTTTTAGATAGAGTGGGTTTTTTGTGTTCAAAATGAGGAATTCTGTATGCTTAACACTGACTAATACTCGGTAATATAATATCCTAACTACATATATTCAGCTCTTTGTTCAGCTGTTGAGAGAAAATGCCAAATAGTGGGGACAAGGAAATCAGAGGTCTCTACTAAGCATCAGTAAATATTAGGGTAGAATAAATCAAGATTCTACCAGTAAAGCAGAACCAGGAGGATATATGAGGACTCACTATGTTTGTGGGTGCTGGCTAAGCAACACTGACGTCTATAGAGTAAATACTAAGAGATGATCATGAGGAGGCTGGAACCCCATAGGCATGTGCTTGTTCACAGGCAAGTCAGGAAAGAAGATCTAGGGGGAAGGGATGAGTTTCTTTTTCAGAGAATGCCTAAACGTTCTTTAAAAGTCCTTCCAGTTGAGTAATCTCCAGTATTCCAGGATAATCTCCCTTTTGATTAAAGTCCCCTAATTAGAGACTCTGTCTACAAAATCCCTTCACAGCAGCACCTAGGTTAATGGTTGGAGTAACAGAGAGATGTGTGTTCTACTAAATCGCAGCTGCTTCCCTTTTGTCCTTCAGCTCTTGAGAGAGTGTGTTCCTTGTTTTCTACCCTAATGGAAAACATACTAGAAATTTTGGGGACTCTGGTTCAATCCAGCCACACTTACTCATCAGAAAGCCATCACAGATGATAAAATATATCACAGTAAGAAGTGGATATTGCTTTAAATGGCTTTTTTAAAAAAAATATTTGACAGAGGGAGCACAAGCAAGGGAAGTGGCAGGCAGAGGGAAAAGCAGGCTCCCCACTGAGCAGGGAGCCCGATGTGGGGGGACTCAATGCCAGGACCCTGGGATCATGACCTGAGTTGAAGTAGATGCTTAAGGGACTGAGCCACCCAGGCACCCTGCTTTAAATGGCCTTTAATCCTTCTATTCATAAAGAAGAGTTCTAGAACTAGGAGTACCATTTTTGTTAACCTACGAGAAACAGTAAAAATCTGACCAACATCTAGAAACTAAACTTATGGTCATAAATAATTTTTTAGGATATGTGATTACCAAATGTTAGACGTTTCTTATAACTGCATTCTGTTTTGTTTTAGGATACTTTTTGAGATCACACAGGAAGATGTTTTGTTTCTGGCTTCACCTCTGACCTTTGATCCTTCCGTTGTGGAAATATTTGTTGCTCTATCAAGTGGTGCCTGTCTGCTAATTGTACCAACATCTGTCAAAATGCTTCCATCAAAATTAGCTGCTGTTCTCTTTTCCCATCACAGAGTAACTATTTTGCAGGTACATTTCAGGGCAAATGAAATGCTTTGTCTTTTATTTAATATTTTAAATGTTTTAAAGAATATTTTGTATTCCTGTATTTTTTTCCCCCAATGGATTAATGATAATCTAGTTAGATTATTAAAGGTTGTTTCCTGATATCACTTAATTTGCTTGAGAATGAAAAAAAATCAGTTAATTCTGTCTAGAAAATTATTTTACTGTCTATCTTGTACAATAATAACTGGAGGAAGTTGACCTTCACTCACATCTGTTGGGTTATGCTGGCCCTCCTATCTTAAGCTTTAGCATGTAGTGAAAAACACAAACTTAGTTTAAGTAAGTTAAATTATAATTAGTTAGGAATTTAGATTTTCTGACTTTTTATATCAGTGTATTTTTTTATATCAGTATATTTTACATAAACTTATAGAAACAAATATTTAGGTTTGTCACTTCTAAATATTTAAAAAATATGTATCTGAAAGTATATGACTGGCATACAAGTGTTAATATATTACAAGTGGTTAAAGATATTAAAGAGAATTAGGGACACCTGGGTGGCTCAGCAGTTGAGCGCCTGCCTTTGGCCCAGGGCGTGATCCCGGAGACCTGGGATCCAGTCCCACATCGGGCTCCCTGCATAGAGCCTGCTTCTCCCTCTGCCTATGTCTCTGCCTCTCTCTCTCCGTGTCTCTCATGAATAAATAAACAAAATCTTAAAAAAAAATTAAAGATACAAAGATATCTGTCACAAAGGGGAGAGGCTGTGTTATCTTGACCAAATTTATGGAGGGCTAAAGCAAGCCTCCCTCTCCCCCATCCTGGCCTCAGTGTGCATTTCTAAGATACGTATATTAATTTTCAAAGAGCCTATAACACCTAGCCACCGACATGAACATTAAACCACTGACATGAACAATATGGAGTGCTAAAGATGGATTCAGTTTTGTTGGTTTTTTTACATGTCTCATAATGAGACATTTGTTGTTAGGGTTCATCTTTTCCTTCCAAAGTCAAATTTCTTATCAAGTGATATGTAAGTCATCAAGAATTTTTGCCTTTTTGCCTATGTATTATATATTATACTTTAAGAAAAGAGCTTCCTGTATAGATTATATTCACAAAAAATAACCTTACCTAAAAACCCAATTGGACATTAAGCAAGGATCATAAAAGCTTAAAAGAGAATACATGCTTTACTGAAGTTTTAAAAATTACAAAAAAATAGAACATCTTGATTTACTGTGGAGGAGAAAAGCCCCAAAATGAAGGCACTGAGCTTTTGAGGAAGTTAAAGCCTATACTTTATTTCAGGAATAAGGACCTTTCAAAAAGAAAGGTCTACTTTTTAGCTTTTTAGAAACCTAAAATGCATTTGAGTTTTGTTTTTTTTGTGTTTTTTTCCCCCAATATTCTGGGTGACAACTTTATATTAAACTTGATGCCCTTTGAAAATGAAACCATTTAATTAGAGCAAAATCTCAGGTTTCTAGCTACAAAATGTCACCATAATAGTGTTTCATTTTTATATGAATTTTTCCTTAGAAATTTTAGAAGGAACCTTAACATTCCATGTTTTTTCTGTTAATTTACTGAGTTCTTTTTTCTATGACTAGGATGATTTGGTAACAAAGTATACTAACATTCTGCCACTAAATTTTGTCATTTCAGTTTATGAGTATCTGAAGTGCTACCATGCCTTATCTTGATTAATGTTCATAGCTGTGCATTTATATGTAGAGTTCAAAGTTGAGATTATCTTTAGCACCAGAAATTAGGCCAGAACATTTTTTTTAAGATTTTATTTATTTATGAGAAAAAGAGTATACACATGTGCATGCAGGAGGAGGAGCAAGAGGGAGAGGAACAAGCAAACTGTGCTGAGTGCTGAGCTCAATGTAGGGCTCTCTCTCAGGACCCTGAGATTACAACCTGAGTTGAAACGAGGAGTCAGGTGCCCAATCAACTGAGGCACCCCAGAACATCTCATTTTTGGCAAGAGTTTCCTCATGATAAAACTTGATGGAACAGTTAACTGGATTTAGAATGCCTGGTAAATAAGGTGACCATTATAATTTATTACCAAAAACCAAGAATCTTTAGAGTGAATGGAGGTACTAAATTGCTAGCAGGAATCTGGAATAATAAGTTCGAACTGGGATGTGGGGTTATCCTATTTAAATATTTTTGGCAAACCAAGACTTTAAATCATCTTTTTGAATTAAAATCCAAGTTGTCCATTAGGGCTGCTTCTAGCTTTTATTGAAAGAAACCATTTAAAAGTCTTGATTCATGTGGAAATTTTCTATGATCAAATAAGAGATTGGCAGAGCCTCTCCCTGAGGAGCAACTATAAAGCTGGACAAAATTGACAAAAGCAACTACGTTAACACTTTGGAAATCAATCAAAGGCATACAACTACCTGAAAAGTGTGTGTCTTTAAAATTGTTGAGTTTTGCATAAACATGGAATGTGTGGCATCCTATCTGCTCTCCCTGCTTCCGCAGCTCAGTCAAAACAGACTTTTCTGTCAAGGCCTGTTTCAGGGCATTTATTCAGTTTGGAGTGCTGGTTATGTCCGTGCTCAAAAACCTGTCTGTGGAAATGTTGAAGCGGGCCAGCACGAAGGGCTGAAAACTCTTCTGGTTTGAGGTTGTTGGTGATAGGGATAGCACATTCTGGCTAAGGCTGCACTTGTGATCAGATCAGAGAGCCCAAGTAGATTCCTGGCTGACCTTGAGCCTATGTGCATGTGCCCTAGAGACCCAGAAGGACCCATGGAAAACAAAAGCTGCATTAGGCTTGAAAATGGTCTAAACTTTGAGCTCATCTATCTGTACATATAATCCATCTCTGTGGACAGTGCAGTTGTTGCTTGACTGCTGAGCTAAGCAGACACATGGTGACCTGTAGGAAGTAAGACTTAGATATATATATGTGTGTGTGTGTGTGTGTATACATGTATATCTGTATATAAATATATACGTATTATATATATACATATATAATATATATTTTAAGATTTTAAAAAATATATATGTAACATATATTTTAAGATTTTATTTATTCATGAGAGAGGCAGAGACACAGGCAGAGGGAGAAGCAGGCTCCATGGAGGGAGCCTGATGTGGGACTTGATCCCGGCACTCCAGGATCATGCCCTGAGCCGAAGGCAGACACTTAACTGCTGAGCCACCCAGGTGTCCCTTAAATATATATTCTTGTTTTCATTTTTAAGGAGCACCTGGGTGGGTCAGATGGTTAAGATCTGTCTTCAGCTCAGGTCATGATCTTTGGGTCCTGGAATCAAGCCCTGCATTGGGCTTCCTGCTCAGTGGGGAGTCTGCTTCTCCCTCTCTTTCTACCTCCCACCCCCTGGATCCTACTGTCTCTCAAATGATTTTTAAAAAAAATACATATTTAAAAGAACAACTGAGCAATGATATTAGTGGCACACATCACTAGGAAGACAGATTTATAGATTTAATCCAGGCTAGTTAGTAACAAAGAAACAAGCTAACAAGCAACAAGAAGATTTCATAGTGATATGGTCAGGATATTAAGGAGTACATTGTGTTATCAAGAAGATGTAATGATTATAAATGTATATCCACCTAAAAATAGAGGCTGCAGATACATGAAGCAAAAATGGACAGGACTGAAATGAGAATTAGGCAACCCAATAGTTTGAAATTTTAATACCCTACTTTTAACAATTGAATGAAAAGCTAGACAGAAATCAGAACATATACTATAGAACACTTGTACAACATTATCAGCCAAATTCTGTTTATAGGACACAGCATCCAATAAATGCAGAATACATATTCTTTGCAAGCACATTGAACATTTTTTTTTTTAAGATTTTACTTTTACTTATTTATTCATGAGAGACAGAACAAGTGAGAGAGGCAGAGACGCAGGCAGAGGGAGAAGCAGGCTCCATGCAGGGAGCCCGATGGTGGGACTCGATCCTGGGTCTCCAGGATCACAACCTGAGCCAAAGGCAGATGCTCAACCACTGAGCCACCCACAGGCATCCCACGTTGAACATTTTCTAGGGTAGATCATATTCTTAACCACCAAACAAGTTACCGTAAATTTAAAATGTGACCAATTAGCATTTATCCCAGGAATGCACATTTGGTTTAACATCCAAAAATCCACTGATAATTATGCTTTCTGCCTGTCCATTATTTATGTAACATATATTATCTCAACAGATGCAGAAGCATTGGCAAAATCCAACACTTGTGATAAAGGAAAAAAAACCTTAAGTAGGAATAGAAGAACTTCCCCAATATGAAGGGCATCTACAAAAAACTATAACATCCTATTTGGTGAAAGACTGCATGCTTTCACCCTTAAATTGGAAACAAGACAAGGATGTTTGCTTTTGCCACTTCTCTTCATTATTACTCTCGTTGTTCTAGGCAGTGCAATAAGGGAAAAAAAAAAACCACCCAACACGTTACTGATAGAAGTTAAAGAGCTCAATAAAAAGAATTTCATGTTTTAAAATATTTTATTTGAGCAGGAGAGAGAGCAAGCTGGGGGCAGGAGTGGAGTGGGAAGGAGAAGCAGATTCCCTGCTGAGCCAGATAGCCTGATGAGGGGCTCTGTCCCAGGACCTCGAGACCGTGACCTGCCAACTGCAGACCCTCAACTGACTGAGCCATCCAAGCACCCCTCAGACATTTCGTGTTTATGGATTGAAGTCTTAATATTGTCAAGATCTATGATTTTAAACACAGTTCCTATCAAAATCCTAGTAGACTTTTTTTGGGTAGAAATTGACAATTGATCCTAAATTTTATGTGGAAATCTGAACCTTAGTCCTGATCTGTACAATGGACTACTACTCAGCAATAGAGTCCTGTGGTCTGAGTGTTTGTGCTCCCCCCTGCCACATTCATTTGTTAAAATCCTAATGAACAATGTAATAGTATTAGGAGATGTGGCCCTTGGGAATGCTTTCATGAATGGGCTTAGTGCTCTAGGAAGAGACCCTAACAGAGTTCCCTAGCCCCTTCTAACCGTGTGAATAAACAAGTTGGCAGTCTTTAACCTTGAAAGAGGGCTTTTACCAGAGCCCGGCCATGCTGGCATCCCGATCTTGGACTTAAAGCCCCAGAACTGTTAGAAGTAAATTTCTGTTGTTTGTAATCTACCTAGTCTGTGCTATTTTGTTATATATAAGCCTGAGCTGAGACAAAACGGACAAAGGGAATTGGTAAGTACAACTTAGGTGAGTCACAAAGTATTTATATGGAGTAAAAGAAGTCAGGTCAAAACAGAATGTGTTGGCAGCCCAGGTCAGCGGTTTAGAACTGCCTTCAGCCCAGGGTCTGATCCAGGAGACCTGGGATCGAGTCCTACATCGGGCTGCCTGCATGGAGCCTGCTTCTCCATCTGCCTGTGTCTCTGCCCGCCCCCTTCATGAATAAATAAATAAAATCTTAAAAAAACTGACATAAAAAAAACAATGTGTTGTGTGATTCTGTTTTCATAAAATTCTGGAAAATGCCAGCTAATCATTAGGAAATAGATCAGTGGTTGTCTGGAAAGGTCCAGTTGATGGGAAATAGGTAATTTTAGGGCTGAAGAATATATTCATTATTTAGAGTATGGTAATAGTTTCATTGATCTTTATCTATATATCTGTATCTCAATTTATACTGTATGCTTTAAATATGTACAGTTTATTGTATGTCAATTATATACTTCACCAGAGCTGTTTTTATTTTTTTATTTATTTTTTTAAAAGGTTTATTTATTTATTCATGAGAGACACAGAGAGAAAGAGAGAGGTAGAGAGACACAGGCAGAGGGAGAAGCAGGCTCCTTGCAGGGAGCCCGACGTGGGACTTGATACCGGGTCTCCAGGATCACACCCTGGGCTGAAGGCAGGCGCTAAACCAGTGAGCCAGCCAGGGACTCCCACCAGAGCTATTTTAAAGGTCTTTTTTCATATTGTTAGGAACAGGTTTACACCTTTATTTACTTTTTTCTACATGGAGATAATGGGAAAGGAAATATGAACGGATTTGATCTATTTTGTCCTTTTTGTCTTTAAACTGTTTTGTCTAAACTATCCAGTGAAACATAACTAATATTTTTAAGTTTTTTTGCTAAAGCAAAATTGATATCCACGGTAAGAAGGTAATGCTGCCTCAGTAGATTTCCAAAATTACTTAACAATTTGATAAACACGGCCTTAATTTCCATGTGGGTGTCTAATTATTGAACTAATTATTACAGTATTTACTTTTTTAAAGAGGTGAAGGGAAGTATCTTTAATGTATTCACAGGCAACACCAACATTGCTTAGAAGATTTGGATCTCAGCTTATCAAGTCAACCGTTTTATCAGCCAGTACTTCTCTTCGAGTATTAGCCCTTGGTGGTGAAGCATTTCCATCATTGACTGTTCTCAAAAGCTGGAGAGGAGTAGACAATAAAACACAAATATTTAATGTATATGGTATCACAGAGGTATCAAGTTGGGCAACTTTTCACAGGATTCCAGAGAAGTTTCTTAATTCTACTTTGAAGTAAGGATTTCAATTGCTAAACAGACTACAAAAAAACTATTTTTCTAGTATCTTAACATTAACACTAATAATGTTTTTGATAGGCACTGCAGTAGTAATTTTAGAAACAGTACTTTATCTAGAATTTTATTTTTTTAGAGCAAGAAGGAAGGCACAGGGGAAGGGTAAGAATTTTTTTTTAAGATTTTGAGAGAGAGAGCATGAGGGGTGGGGGGCAGAGGGAGAGGGAGAAGCAGGCCCCTGCCCCTGAGCAGGGAGCCCAATGCTGGGCTCCATCTCAGGACCCTGGGATCATGACCTGAGCTGAAGGCAGATGCTTAAGTGAGCCACCCAGGCACCTTGGGAGAGAATCTTAAGCATGTTCCATGCCCAGTGCAGAGCCCAGTCTCACAACCCTGAGATCATGACCCAAAATCAAGCATCAGTTGCTTAACCAACTGAGCCACCCAGGCCCCCCTATTTTATCTAGAATTTTAAGCTGAGGGTCCAGAACCTTTCTTATAACTGGTGCTGCAGATCCTGCTATAACTTTTTAGTGACTAAACAGGAATAAATAACCTAGGATAACTTTTCCACCTAACCTTTTCCTCTTGGCAGTCTTTGAATTACAATATAACCAAAACTTTTTTTTTCTTTATTTGGTATGATGTGATTTAAATACATTGGAAAATATTCTATTCAAATGAAAAATTTTAATGTGGTTTGGGTTGTGTTTTCATAGATGTGAATTGCCTGTACCCCTGGGATTTCCACTGCTTGGAACAGTAGTTGAAGTCAGAGATACTGATGGATTCACAATTCAAGAAGGCCATGGCCAAGTATTTTTAGGTTGTTTTACATTTGCTGATTGGGCAAACCTTTTTTTTTCCCTTGAAAAAGAAATCTGATGTTAATTTTATTCTTTCATCAATTTGCCTTATGTCCAGTACTCTTTTTCAGTGATAATTTTTAATCTCATTCTCACAGTCATGAAGCATTTAATATATTACCATTATTATTTCAGATAACAATATTTGATACCCTTAAGGAATATAAAAAGAAATTTAGAAAATGTATTTTGTACTTACAGCCAAAATTCTCTTTAATTAGTATTCTTAAGAATTTTTTAAATAACATATGTTTTTAGAAATTTTGTTTTATTCCTCTATTTTACTGAGGTTATTGTATTTATTTTATCAGGTAACATTTAAATATGAATATGAATATTCAAAATGTGAAACTTAGTAACAACTTTTGAAGATGTTCTTGATTTGATGGTTTTTAATATATTTTCCATGGATTTATTTTTTTATAATGTTGGTGTTTATTCTTGTGAAGGTGGCAGAAATAGAGTATGTTTTCTTGATGATGAAATGACAGTACCACTTGGCACAATGCGAGCAACAGGAGACTTGGTGATGGTGAAAGATGGAGAGATGTTTTTCTTGGGACGAAAGGACAGTCAAATAAAACGACATGGCAAACGTCTTAACATTGAACTTGTGCAACAGGTAGAACTATTTAAATATTAAGTATTCTACCAACATATGTAGATATTAGAGGTAGCCACCACCAATTTTCTGTGCCAGCATTCTCTATTAGTATTGTTTAAGCCTAAGATTTTTTTGCATTAATGATGCATTACAATAGAAAATGTGGGTTATTCAGTGTGCCCCTTATTCCCAGCATGAAGAGGTTTTTGTTTTTTAAAGATTTATTTATTTATTCATGAGAGACACAGGCAGAGGGAGAAGCAGGCATGACGTGGGACTCGATCCCAGGACTCCAGGATCACGCCCTGAGCCAAAGGCAGATGCTCAACCTCTCAGCCATTCAGGCATCCCTAGAGTGGTTTTTTTAAACAAGTGACAGAATGGATTTTGAGAACTGTGGAAATAATGGTTTACTTTGCTCAAGGAGCAATTATTTTTGAAAAACATGAAGAACCCAGTGTACTGGTAATAGTAATAGTAGCAATCAATTTTTTTTTTTTAAGTCTCTAGTTATTTTACAATTTAATTTGACTGTGTTGATTTCAGACATGAGAAGTTTGAGCATTTGGGAAGTTTGCTTTTTTTTTTTATTTTTATTTATTTTTTATTTTTTATAAATTAATTTTTATTGGTGTTCAATTTACCAACATACAGAATAACACCCAGTGCTCATCCCGTCAAGTGTACCCCTCAGTGCCCGTCACCCATTCACCCCCACCCCCCCCCTCCTCCCCCTCCACCACCCCTAGTTCATTTCCCAGAGTTAGAAGTCTTTATGTTCTGTCTCCCTTTCTGATATTTCTCACACATTTCTTCTCCCTTCCCTTATATTCCCTTTCACTATTATTCATATTCCCCAAATGAATGAGAACATACACTGTCCTTCTCCGGTTACTGTGGCCAAGTTCAAAAAGGGTGTTGCCTGAGTTCTCCTCTGGGATTTTGATGGAGTCTTGTCTCACATTTAGATCTTTCATCTATTTTGAGTTTATCTTTGTGTATGGTGCAAGAGAGTGGTCCAGTTTCATTCTTCTGCATGTGGATGTCCAATTTTCCCAGCACCATTTATTGAAGAGAGTGTCTTTCTTCCAGTGGATCGTCTTTCCTCCTTTATCGTGTATTAGTTGACCATAAAGTTCAGGGTCCACTTCTGGGTTCTCTGTTCTGTTCCATTGATCTATATGTCTGTTTTTGCGCCAGTACCACACTGTCTTGATGAACACAGCTTTGTAGTACAACCTGAAATCTGGCATTGTGATGCCCCCAGATATGGTTTTCTTTTTAAATATCCTCTGACAGAGAGGCAGAGACACCCGCAGAGGGAAAAACAAGCTCCCTGCAGGGAGCCCAAGGAGGGCCTCAATCTTGGGGCTCCAGGATCACGCCCTGAGCCAAAGGCAGATGCTTAACCGTGGAGCCACCCAGGAGTCCCTGCTTTAGTTTTTAAACTTTGTATATATATATTTTAATATTGTACAAGAATTACTCATTTATTTTGATGTGAGAATATGTTTAGTACTTGGTTGTGATGGCATCATGAGTGTATGCATATGTCCCAAAGTCATCAAGATAGTACATGAAATGTATCTAATTTTTTCTATATCAACTATACCTTAATAAAGCTAAGAAAGACTTAATAATAAAAAAAAATGTCCTCTGACAAATTGGGATGATCTCTCTCATAGGTTGCTGAAGGACTTCAGCAAGTGGAGTCTTGTGCAGTTACATGGTATAATCAGGAAAAATTAATTCTGTTCATGGTGTCCAAAAATGACTTAGTAAAGGAATACATCTTTAAAGAACTGCAGAAACATCTTCCAAGTCATGCAATCCCAGATGAACTGGTGTTGATTGATTCTCTACCATTTACATCTCATGGTAAAATCATTTTAAGCAGATATGTTTTGGTACCAAATGATTATTAATTCCATTCATAACTAGTTTAAAGGCCTTTTAATTCCTTATTACTCTAAGTAATATTAGGATATTTTGTAGTGGACCCTCTGTTCAATGCTTTGTATAACTAACTCATTTTATCCCTAGAAAATCCTGTGAGTAGGTAGTAGTAGTCTCATTTATAGCTATGGAAACTAAGGCTTAAACAGGTTAAGTAATTTTCACAAAATTACATTGCTGATTAGTGGTAGAGTTGAAATTCTAAGACTTTTTGATTTCAAAACGTGTGTTCTTAATGACCATATTGCCTTCCCAGTTTCATCTTTCATATTTACATCAACATGTAGTAATTGCTCAGTTATTAGTAGGGCCATTTAACTTTTTAAGATAAACATTAGCTCTTCGTTTCTTATTACCCACCACATTCTTAATGCTTTATTTTTTTTAAATTTTTATTTATTTATGATAGGCACACAGTGAGAGAGAGAGAGAGGCAGAGACACAGGCAGAGGGAGAAGCAGGCTCCATGCACCGGGAGCCTGATGTGGGATTCGATCCTGGGACTCCAGGATCGCGCCCTGGGCCAAAGGCAGGCGCCAAACCACTGCGCCACCCAGGGATCCCTACCCACCACATTCTTGGTAGCATAAGACTATTTAGAATTGATTATCTTTTACAAACTATTCTATATGATTTCAAACTTTACATTGAAAAATGTGTGTATTCTTATGACTGGTGAAGATAGAGTTAAGCTGAAACTTTAAAATTATTTCTCTTTTAAGGCAAAATTGATGTTTCAGAGTTAAACAAGATGTATTTAAACTTGAAGCCTGAGTGCAAACTCAATGGAAAAGAGGAACTTTGGGAAAAATTACAGTATTTGTGGAAGGTACAACTTTTAAGATACAAATTTGTTATTATAAAGAGGTCATATTATATCTTTTGGGACTGTTAACATCCTAATGAGGCTGATAAAGTTTTCAAGAATGTTATTGATGCCTAAATGTTAAGTAATATACCTTTGTTTATTCAATTTGTATTAAAATAAGGATTAGGTTCTCTACTGTAAGATTAAGTTCTCCATAAAGAAATTTATTGGAAGTGAACATAAAATGCACAGGTAGACAAGACCCATCGTGACATAACTTTTCCCTAATGGGTCAGTGGAGTGCATTGCTTATCAGAGTTGAGAAAATGGCCAAATTTTGCTAAATACTACAATCTGTGGTATACAGGCTATGTCATTCTTCCTGAAGACCTTGCAGCATAGATGTTTCTGCTTAATTGAATTTATTTATAGAGATCTTCCTCAACTTATGATGGAGTTGCATTCAGATAAACCCATTGTAAGTTGAACATTTCATAATCAAAATGCATTTAATACACCTACAGAATAGCTTAGTTTAGCCTACCTTAAATGTACTCAGAACACTTATATTAGCTTACAGTGTTGGGCAGACTGAGAGTTGCCCAACACTGACACAAAGCCTATTTTATAACAAACTGTTGAATATCTCAAGTAATTTATTGAATACTATACTGAAAGTGAAAAACAGAATGGTTGTATGGGTACAAAATGATTAAAGTGTATCAGTTGTTTACTCTTGTGATCACATGGCTGACTGGGAGCTGTGGTTTGCTGTTCCTGCCCAGCATCCTGATATAATGCATGTTGCTTGACTGGAAAAAGATCAGAATTTGAAGTATAATTTCCACTGAATGTGTATTGTTTTCACACCGTTGTGATGTTCAAAAGTCTTAAGGAGGGGTGGTTGGGTGGCTCAGTCAGTTAAGCATCCCACTCTTGATTTAGGCTCAGGTCTTAATCTCAGGGTCATCAGTTCAAGCCCTGCATTGGGCTCCATGCTGGGCATGGAGGCTACTTAAAACAAAAACCAACCTAAGTCAAATCATTGTAAGTTGGGGACTGTTTGTATATATAGAAGTGTGTATAGCAAACAATTTAAAAAATTTATTTTGAAATATGTATATATTACAACCATAGGTCAGTATAGTTTTTCTTAGATAAAATGTGTAGCTTTCTGAAGGGTTCTGAAAAGAGAATGTAATTGTATAGTCTGGTCTGAAAATAAAGGTATCTTGTTAAAAGTCTTATTCACTTAATTGTTAGATTCTTGGAAAATAATTAAAAAAAATAATTTTGATTTAGTGAAGCAAATGAAGATAAATATGTTCCCATTTAAAGAAATATCAGATATTGGTATTTTGTGGACTTTATAATTAGTAAATCATATTTTAAAAATTCTACTCGCTATTTTATGGGTAGGGAAAAGTGCTCTAAAAGGAGATATAACTTGTAGTTTTAGAATGAGTTTATGACAAATTGGTAGCATAGACCCCTTTAAAGAAATATAACTTTAATTTTGATTATTAAAAATATTTATTTTGTTTTTTGTTCATATCATTATTGTAAGTACTATGCTATATATATTACCTATAAATTGTTGATTTGTTTTGGTTTTAGACCTTTACTTCACCATATTTCTCCCTTTTCTCATCTGTAGTCTATTCTAAATCTCTCCGAAGATCCTTTGAATGTTTCTGACGAGTCACTCTTCTTAAATAGTGGTGGAGATTCCTTAAAGTCCATACGGCTCCTCAACGAGATTGAAAAACTAGTTGGCACATCAGTACCTGGGCTTCTGGAAATTATTCTTAGCAGTTCCATTTTAGAGATTTATAATCATGTCCTTCAAACAGTGTTTCCAGATGAAGATCTGGTATTTAGCAAGAATTACGCCACAAAAAGAAAATTCAGCGACATTTATCAAGAAGAAACCAATGGAAAATCTTTACATCAGAAATCTGTCATGACTTTAAACTATGACAATGAGCTAACTGCTTTTACTACAGTGAGCAGAGGGAGTCAGATTTTGTCACTGAACAGTAAGTTTTTAACTAAGTTAGGACTTTGCTCTTCAGCCCAATCTTCTGATTTAATTTCACAGACTAATATTCAAAATGTGAAAAGCTTAAATCCTCCAGCTCTTATTGGGAAGTCAAAAGATCCATCCTGTACTGCAAAAGTTTCTGAAGAGGGAACATATGGGACGGCAGCCAAGAAAATGGAGCTACATGTGAGGTGGAGGTCAGACACAGGCAAATGTGTGGATGCTTCACCTCTAGTTGTAATCCCAGCTGTTGATGAGTCGTCTGCAACTGTGTACATTGGCTCCCATTCTCATAGAATGATGGCACTTGACCTTTACTCTGGGAAGGTGAAATGGGAACAGATTTTGGAAGATCGAATTGAATCTTCAGCGTGTTTATCTATGTGTGGAAACTTTATTGTAGTGGGTAAGTTTCTGAATTTGAGGTTTTAGAGTTAAACAATTACCATACAATAATGCTAGTAGGAGCAAGTTAAATTTAAAACCTTATGTATGGTAGGTTTGGCTATTAAAGAATAATAGTTACCCATGTGCTAATTCAGTGTGGGCTTTGGGATTTGAATTTGAACTGTTATCAGCTCTGTGAACTTTGATAAGTTGCTAAACCTCTAGAACACCTCATGTAAGGATCTGTTTCTTGGTTTGTCTCTTTTTTCCCCTGGTTTCTCATTTGTTTTAAGATTTATTTATTTTGAAAGAAAGTGAGTAAGAGAGAACATGAGCCAGGGGGAGGAGCAGAGGGAGAAGCAGACATCCTGCTGAGCAAGGAGCCCAGCACAGGGCTCTATCCCAGGACTCTGGGATCATGACCTGAGCTGAAGGCAGATGCCCAACTGACTGAGCCACCTAGGCGCCTCTTGTTTCGTTTTGTTTTTGTTTTAAAGGTTTTATTTATTTATTCATGACAGAGAGAGAGAGGCAGAGACACAGAGACAGAAGCAGGCTTCATGCAGGGAGCCTGATATGGGACTCGATCCCGGGTCTCCAGGATCACATCCCGGGCCAAAGGCGGCACCAAACTGCTGGGCCACCAGGGCTGTCCTTGTTTTGTTTCTTAAATTCCACATACATCATAGAGCTTTTGAGAAGATGAAGTGAGATAATTGCTTATGAATCCTTAGTATGTTGCTAGGTACAGCCTCATTAAGAGTTAGCCACTAGCTGCTGTTTAGTTTCATTAAAGGTATAGGTGATTTTTACTCTACTTAGAATATGGGGTCCAGGTGTAATGCCTTTCCTTGGCTATCATTCTTTTTACTCCGTCCACTACATTAAGTTTTACTTTATCTGCTTGTCCAAATCTATGCTGAGTGCTTAGGACTATGTCTCCCTACTTATGGTATCCTAGCTGGGATCTACTTGAATCTGAGTTTGATCCTTCCCTTTCGCTCACATACATTTTGAAAAATCTACCAGGAACTTTCGGTGATACGTGTGCATGAGCATGTGTAATTCTCATCCGTGAAAGCTCACTGAAGTTACTGTTTGTAACCAGAGTGTCTGTACTCAAGGCCTGTGGCACATGGTGGTCACTTAGGATTTCAGACTTTTTTTTTTTTAAGATTTTATTTATTTGAGAGAAAACACAAGCAGGGGGAGGGGCAGAGGGACAAGCAGACTCCCCACTGAGGGGGGGAGCCTGACACAAGGCTGGATCCTAGGACCCTGAGATGATGACTTGAGCTGAAGTCGGGTGCTTAACTGACTAAGCCACCTAGGCACCCCAACATTTTTTAATTAAGATGTAATTTATAGGGGCACCTGGGTGGCTCAGTGGTTGAGCATCTGCCTTTGTCTCAGGTTGTCATCCTTGGGTCCTGGGATCGAGTCCTGCATCAGGCTCCTCGTGGAGATCCTGCTTCTCCCTCTGCCTGTGTCTCTATCTCTGTGTCTTTCATGAATAAATAAAATCTTTAAAAATATATATAATTTATATGCAATAAAACTTTTTTTTCTAAGATTTTATTTATCCATTCATGAGAGTCACAGAGGCAGAGACACAGGCAGAGGGAGAAGCAGGCCCCATACAGGGAGCTCGGTGTGGTACTTGATCCTGGGACCCCAAGATCATGCCTTGAGCTGAAGGCAAACGCCTAACCGCAGAGCCACCCAGGCGTCCCTATATACAATAAAACTTACCCTCTTTATAGCTCTGTGTTTTGACAGATTTGTACTTTCATGTAACCACTACCACAATCAAGGGTTTATTACTCAAAAGTTTCTGTATCAGTTTGTAGTCATCCTTCCTCCTATTCCTAACTCAAGGCACCACTGCTCTGTTTTCTGTCTCTCTAGTTTTGCTTTTTCTAGTTTTTGCTTTTGAGTCTGACTTCTCTTACTTAGCATGTGTTTGAGATTCATCCATATTGCATATATCAAGAGGTTTGTTCCTTTCTTAAATTTTTTTAAGAATGAGAGAGAGCTCATGCTAGCAGGGGGTGGAGGGCAGAGGGAGAGAGAGAATCTTAAGGAGGCTTCAGATTAGCTGCCCAGAGTAGAGCCCAACACGGGGCTCGCTCTCACAACCCTGAGATCATGAGCTGAGTTAAAATCAAGAGTGGGATTTTCGACTGACTGAGCCACCCAGGCACCCCAAGAGGTTTTTTTCTCTCTCTCTTTTTTTTTATTGGTGAGTATTCTGTTGTGTGGATGTACCATAGTTTGTCCATTCACATGTGGGTTATTTCCAGTTTTTTGCCCCCCCCCCCCGTTTTTGATAATTTTGAATAAGACTGCTATAAGCATTTGTGAACAGGATTTTGTGTGAATATAAGTTTTTATTTCACTTGGGTCAGTACCTAGGAGGTGGAAAATGTACAATAAGCATAGTTTTAAGTTTGTAAAAAATGGCCAAAATATTTTCCAAGTAGACTGAACCACTTTGCATTCCCACCATCAGTGTATGAGAGGTCCAGCTGTTCACATCCTTGTTATAACACCTGGTGTGGTGGATTTGAAAATTTATCTTTTTTTAAGATTTTTAATTTATTCATGAGGGACACACAGAGGCGGACACACAGGCAGAGGGAGAAGCAGGCTCCATGTGGGGAGCCCAACGTGGGACTCGATCCCAGGACTCCAGGATCACACCCTAGGCTGAAGGCAGCACTAAACTGCTGAGCCACCCAGGCATCCCTTTTTTTTCTTTTTAAGATTTTTTTTAGTTTATTCATGAGAGACACACACACACACAGAGAGAGAGAGAGAGAGAGAGAGAGAGAGAGGAGAGGTAGAGGCAGAGACACAGGCAGAGGGAGATTTTTTATTTTAACCATTCAGATTGTTAATGGTATGGTATTTCATTATGGTTTTAATTTGCATTTCCCTGGTGACAAATGATGTTTCTTTTTATGAACTTAATTGCCATCTGTGTCTTTTATGACGTGTCTCTTCAGATCTTTTGCCCAGTTTTTTATTGTCATGTTTGTTTTCTTATTGGGTTCTGAGAATATTATGTATTCTGCATGCAAGTCCCTTACCAGATATGTTTTGCATAGTTTCTCCTAGTCTGTGGCTTGTTTTTCCTTACTTTCATTAACATAATGTCTTTTGAAGAGGAGTTCTCAATTTTAATAAAGTCCAGTTTATTATTTTCTTTTATGGATCATGCTTTTGATGTCTTACCCAAGAAATTTTTGCCTAACCCAAGGTCACAAAGATTATCTTCTGGAAATGAACTGAACTGAAAGTGATTTTTCATTACCCAGCTGAATCCTGGGGTACTGCACTGTGTAGGAGGACATTTTTCTTCACCATCACTAAGCAGGCCACTTTCTTTTTCTTTCTTTCTTTCTTTCTTTCTTTCTTTCTTTCTTTCTTTCTTTCTTTTCTTTTCTTTTCTTTCTTTCTTCCTTTCTTCCCTTTCTTCCTTTCTTTCTTCCTTTCTTCCTTTCTTCCTTTCTTTCTTTCTTTCAGATTTATTTAGTTATTTATTAATGAGAGAGAGCGAGAGAGAGAGCGCGGCAGAGACACAGGCAGAGGGAGAAGCAGGATCCAGGCAGGGAGCCTGACGTGGGACTCGATCCCGGGTCTCCAGGATCAGGTCCTGGGCTGAAGGCAGTGCTAAACTGCTGAGCCACCCAGGCTGCCCAGCAGGCCACTTTCTTGCAACTAAGAGTAACTGCTCGAAAGAAAACAGCAAGACAGTTACTCTGGAATTGGGCCTCCAAAGCCATCTAGGAGTGGTGGGCCAGTGCCCAAAGTCAGCTTCCTCTAATTGACATGTACTGCAGGGAATTTGAGTGATCTTCACTTTGTAGGTTTTAAGCACCCCTATCTCCCCCTGGGTTACTCTGGCTGCACAAGTCAAGGACTCCTGCCCTACCTTCTCATCTATTGCAGCAGTTTGGGAAAAGCGAACTCCTGTACTAGTTAAGTGCATAGGCTCTGGAGCTTGACTTCTTAGATTCAAATTCTGGCTCTGCCACATGTCAGCTGAATAGTTTTGCTCTAGTAACTTAATCTCTCTGTGCTTCCTTTTGTCATCTGTAAAATGCAGATGTAATCCTCACAGTGAAGCAAGTGCTATTATATGAATTAATAGATGTAAAATTCTTAGAACACTTTACACAGCAAAGGCTCAGTACATGTTGGCTATTGTTAATGTTAGCATTTCTTGAACACCTTTGCACTGGGTATTTATCTATATTATCTTAATTATCATAATAACACTGGAGTAGATCTATCCACATGCAGCAGAAAAATAATCTGAGGCTCAGTGATGCTGAATGATTTGCCCAAGGATGGCCATGAAGAGATTTGATTCTGGGTCTGTCAAAGCCTCTCTACTGAAGTGTGCTTCATTGTTTTCTCAGTAGTGAAGCACTTTATGGTACTTTAAAATAAGGTATGCCTACTAGATAAGTTTTATTTTTTACAAGTGATTACTGTTCGGTTTCTGCTTTACATTGCTGTAATTTAAATCTGAGCTGAACACAGACATACATGAAGAGCACTAAATATAAATTGTCATGATTTAGGCTAAAGAATTTATTGTCCAGTGATGTATTTAAATCTCATCTTTTATATTTTGTTTCCCAACAGGCTGTTATAATGGATTAGTTTATGTTCTGAAAAGTAATAGTGGAGAAAAATACTGGATGTTTAGTACTGAGGATGCTGTCAAAAGCTCAGCAACCATGGACCCAACCACAGGACTCCTTTACATTGGATCTCATGACCAGCATTCATATGCTTTGGATATTTATGTGAGAATTCACCTCATCAGTTTCTTATCATAAGCTCAGAAGAGTGTGAAACTGTCAGGTGCTCTTGAGTAAGGGAGCAAGTATGAACTATTCCCTAAGTTTAGCAGTGTGGTCTGGGAAGAATGAGTTAATTAACAGTCTTAATATCTTAAGACATTTTTAACTTCCTTACCATTTTCACAAATAAATTTTCTACTCAGAGTTTTTAAATATAAAGAACTTAGAATTACTATCTTGACAATAGAAACTAATCACAAGGGAAAATATCAGTAAGACCTGATAAGTTGGGGAAGTAATTTGAAGCAAATGTGATGGTTAAAAATCATTGATAAGAATAAATGGAAATAAAGAACAAACACAAATTATAAAGACCCAGATAGAAAAATAAACAAGAGATATAAACATAAGAGACCCCAAAGAAGAAATGCCTAGTAAATATATTTAAGTGTTTCATATCTTTAATAATCAAAGGAATGAAAATTTGAACTGTTTCTTTATCACACAGTATTAGATCAGAATGGTATGGTAAATGCTGCTGAGTAGAGGGAGGTTGTAACTAGTGAAGCCTCTCAGGAAAACAGTTTGGCCAAAGCTAACTTCATATCCTTTGATTCACTAAAATTCTTCTAGGATTCTATCCTGGCAAAGTTATCAGAAACATGGACAAATCTATACACCAAGATGTCTATTTCTAAGTTCATAATACCAAGAAATTAGTTCCAAATAATTTTCAGTGATAAGGTAGAGAATTATTTTATGTGCAGATGAGATATTAGGCATTAAAATAATATCTAAAGAGTTTTACCAAATTGAGCTAAATATATAATATTAATTAATATATATCAAGTATATATTCAGAATGATCTCAACTGTATTAAACTGTGTATGTCCCAAAAAGATCAAAAGGGAAAATGTTAAACCATTAACAGTGGTTATCTGTGGGTGGTCCTTTTTTTTTTTTTTTTTAAGATTTTATTTGAGAGAGCGCACAAGGGAGGGGGGATAGAGGGGAGGAGTAAAGGGAGTGGGAGAAGCAGGCTCCCCACTGAGCAGGGAGCCTGACACAGGGCTGGATCCCAAAACCCTGAGATCATGACCTGAGCTGAAGTCAGATGCTTAACTGACTGAGTCACCCAGGCACCAGGTCCTTGTCTTACTTATACTAACTTGAATCTCTACAAGGAGGCTGTATTACTTTTATACTAAAAATAAATTAGGTACATTAACTAAATAGATGTAATATCATGAGGACTAGGACATGTAAATTTGTTAACCACCAACAGAATCCAATTAATTTGCTTTCTTATTTGCAGAAAAAGAAGTGTGTTTGGAAGTTACAATGTGGAGGAACTGTCTTTTCTTCCCCTTGTTTGAGCCTGATTCCACATCATTTATATGTGGCTACACTGGGAGGACTATTACTGGCTATAAATCCTGTAGGCATAAAATATGTATTGATTTCATTACCTGTTTTTTAAATGCTTTATTTTTGCTTTGAATTCTGAAAAGTTGAAGTAGTTTTTAATTAGACATAGTTCAGCTCTCACTGAACCCAAACTCATTAAAAATGATTGGCATGAAGTCTAGAAAAATGAGAAAATAGAAGTTCTATGTATATCGTTTATCAATTTTTTAAATTGGCAGAAATTTCTCAGTCATATTAGAACTTAAAATGGTTTAAGGATAGATCTCATGTAGTAATTATTTCCTGGCTTTACTGTAAGTTTTTATCTCTGCTTTCATAAAGAACACCGATTAATTTTATAGCTGTGTGTGTATACCAGCTTCATTTATGGTATCAGTTTACCATTATAGCTTTTTCTGATGTTTAAAGCTTTGTCTCTGGGAGATTTGAGTTTTAGAAAGGGTAATTGATTAGTAGAATGATTTAAATGCTGTCAATTGCTTTTACCCATGGCAGGCCACTGGGAACAGAGTTTGGAAACATTCCTGTGGAAAACCCCTCTTTTCTTCTCCACGGTGTTGCCTACAGTATGTTTGTATTGGCTGCGTGGATGGGAACCTACTCTGCTTTACCCACTCTGGAGAACAGGTGAAAAGTTTCTGGTTCTATTTTACATATCTTCCTCCAAATCATAGTAATTGGTGACAACTAAAGTAAAATTTTAAACATCATCATTCAACTCATTGTGTTGAAAATTGGTTTGATTTTAATTGTCAAGCCATGGGTTTCTTAATTTTTGAATGATAGTATAGTAGATTGAAGATTCTACCCAGACATTGTTACACTTGTGCCATGCACCCCTCTAATTTTAAAAACTTTACCAGTTTTTAGCTAATTTTATTATGACTTCTTTGAAGGTTTGAAACCCCTGCTTTTTCTATGAAAACTAAAATAGGTTGCACAACCCAAATTGCATTGCATGGAGGTCCCTCTTCATGACTGGCAGGGAGGCTGTTTCTGGGTGATATTAGATCTTTTTTGTTGGGAGCATAATCTCCACCTCTGTATCGACAGCTGACTGCCACTTACTTCATTTTTAAAGATTATTCACAAGAGAGACAGAGAGAAAGGCAGAGACATAGGCAGAGGGAGAAGCAGGCTCCCCGTGGGGAGCCTGATACGGTACTCGATCCCAGAACCCCAGGATCACAACCCAAGCCAAAGGCAGATCCTCAACCACTGAGCCACCCAGGCACCGCTGTGGTAGCTTTAAAATAAGCAAATAGTATATATATCCACAGGACAGAGACAGAACTCCTAGCTTTTTGTTTAAACCTTTAATTTGAATTACTGCACGTGAACTCTTCCTTTTAGTTCACTTACTTCCTTCTCCTTACATTAGGAGAAGAGAATAAGGAACAGTTTTTAATAAGATAAACATTGAAAACTGAGTGCAATTCTTTGAACTTTGCATCATTAAACATAGTAGTAGTAGCTCTTTCATGAATGGGGTTCAAAATTAATTTTATTATATTATGCATGGCAGTGACTCGTGTAATAACACTCGTGTACTTTGTCCTAGACTTTACCACTGGGACAGAGGTCTACTTTGAGAATGCTACTTTTCAGAAGAACTATTAGTTCCTCAGTGTGTGTGTGTAGTTACCATTTCGGTAGCCTACACTGCTTATATTTATACAGGAGAACTGAAACTAATAAATTATTTTGGCCTTTTTTGTCATCCTTCAGGTTTGGCAGTTCTCTACCAGTGAACCAATCTTTTCATCCCCATGTACCTCAGTATCAGAGCAAGAAATATTTTTTGGTTCCCATGATTGCTTTATCTACTGTTGTAATATGAAAGGTCACCTCCAGTGGAAATTTGAAACTACTTCACAGGTGTATGCAACACCATTTGCTTTCCATTACCAAGAAGGTGGTGATGAAATGTTGCTGGCAGCAGCATCTACTGATGGGAAACTATGGATCTTGGAATCTAAGAGTGGACGATTGCAAAGTGTGTATGAACTTCCCGGGGAAGTTTTCTCTTCTCCTGTGGTCTGGGAATCAATGCTTATTATTGGATGTAGAAATAATTATGTTTATTGTCTGGATTTATTGGGTGGCTATCAAATATAATCAAGTTCAGTCCTTATTAGGTTATCTGAGATGTCTGAAAATATCATTATAGAGCATTTGGATAGTCTTATTTTATACTAAAGAGTATATTTTGCCTAAGAAACTTGTTTATTACACTTTATTGGAGAATGATCATATTTTACTTTCTGTAGGAGCAACAAATGCTTTTTTTTTAACAAATGCTTTTAAGAGGAATTATAGAACAAAAACATCAATTTATTTAGTTGTACTTTCTTTTAATTAGGCTACAGATATTCTACTTTGAGTTTTTTTCTTTTTTTAATAGACTTCTGTGAAAAAGATATCAGAATACACTTAGGGGTTAAAAACTTAGTTTATGATATGCACCATTTCTTTATTTTTTTTAAAGATTTTACTTATTTATTCATGAGAGAGACAGAGACACAGGCAGAGCGAGAAGCAGGCTCCATTCAGAGAACCTGATGTGGGACTCTATCTTGGGACTCCAGGACCATGCCCTGAGCTGAAGGCAGATGTGCTTAACCACTGAGCCACCCAGGTATCCCATCATTTACTTCTTTACAGTGAGATTCATAACAAAGGATTTTCAAAGGTAGGATCTTTTTATCAAATTAGGTTTCTTATTTAGTATTTCTAAATGAACAAAACACCAATATTGAATTATATATATATATATATATATATCTTCTATAGTAGAGTTTGAAGTTGATTTATCCTCTTTTTTTCAATTTTTGATTTATAAACCTTGATGAATATTTTTTATCTATATTTTTCAATTTACTGGACTTCGTGGTTGTATGTCTTTTGTTCATTGGCTTGGTGGTAGGAAACAACAGAAACCAGGAATGAAAAAAAAGTCTATATACTTGGAAGTATCCTGATTTCTCAGAATGTGTGTATGGTTTTGGGCTGGAGCTGCTCCTCCAGTCCCATAGCACTTTGCATCAACCTGCATTTGCCTGGCATGAAGTTGCCCTCAGTGAACTACACCTCCCCCTGGTAGTCATGCCCTTTATGCATTCTCCTTCTCTGGTACCTGAGCTTAGTCCATGATTTACCTTAACCAGTAGAATGTAGTGGAGGTGACATTAATGTTGCTTCTGAGCCCTAAACTTTAGGAAGGCCTGGCAGCGTCTGCTTTCATGGGATCCCAGACATAGAGTCTGGCGGCCAGATGGAGAGGCCATGTGGTAAGGGAGTGGCCCTGACACTACACTAAAAAAACTGAGGAGGCCAGATAACAGGGACAGGTGAAACCCAGACATTTGGCTCCCAGCATTCCAGCCCACCCCAGCTGTTCAGGCTATCCTGGTGCCATTTAATTTCTCACCCACAGAGTCCTAAGAAATAATAAAAATGGCAGTCATTTTAAGCCACTAAATTTTAGGGTAGTATGTTAGGGAAGGTAGTAGTAGCAGAGATCATGACCTGAGCCGAAGGTAGATGCTTGACCAACTGAACCACCCAGGCACCCCAAAGCTTTTTTTTTTTTTTTTTTTTTTTTGCTATAATAGGAATTCAGCCACTAGTAGTAGTAATAACTACTATTTAGGGCATATTACACCCCAGACACTCGTGCTAAAGCACAAGTAACAAAAATGTATCCTAATGCTTACCTTCCCTTTATCTCTACAGTCAACTGTGGTATCAATTTCATTTGTTCATTTATTCCTCAAATAAAGTCCCAAATATCAAACATGCCAAAGTTCTTAGCTGCAAGCTATAGAAGTCAACTTAGGCTATTTTAAGGAGAAAAGAATTTTCTGAAAAAAATATACCGAATAGCTTGGCGAATTGCGACAAGGGCCAGAGCTATACAGCCCAGGAATAATGAATGCTTGAAATCACCATGACTTTGGCCTGGGGAAGACACATCTGCTTTTCTTGAAGCTCTAAATCCTCAAATCACTAACAAACATTGGACCCTGTTCCCTCCCACTGCCAGACTTCCACACACAGTTGAGTTGGGAGATCAGTTCAGAGCCTTTTCCAGTTTTAAGTGAAAAAGGTTCCATGCCCATGAGAGAGTACAGCAAAGCATGTATCAGGCATTTCATCTGTGGTGGTGGGAGGGGGAGTGCAAGACCCATGAGGTGGGAGAGCTCCCACACCTAGAAAGGGGACTTGAGGTACAGATTGGCCAAAAAGAACACATCTGTCAAGTTTTATATCAGTGCTGCTTAAAGCTTAACGTGTATTAACCACCTGCAGCTCTTGCTAAAATCAAATGCACATTCCAAGAGGCTGAAAGGGTGCTTTGCTGAGCCATAATGGATCCTGAGGCCAAAAGAAAAATCAGTAATACTGATCCTTGCTTGAGTACAAATTCCACTATGAACAAATATCAAAATTTTAAATAATTTTATTAGGTTAATCTCTGTGCCCAATTAGGTAATCTCGGGCTTGAACTCAGCAGTTCCCGAATCAAGTCATATGCTCTGCCAACTGAGACAAGTGCCCCCAAGTACTCATTTGTATTTTTTAAAAGATACTTCATTAGAACAGGATTTATCTTAGTTTTGTGGCACCCAGCGTGAGGTGAGGGCCTCACTCCCATCACTTACTTTTACCCTAGGGGAGACCTGTGAGTCAGCAGTAAGTCTGGCCTGGGCCCCACGCTGCCTTTCTCACAAGCTTCCAGCCCCAGCCAGTGCTACAGTTCTAGGGCCCACATGTGGAGCAAGGTGGCTATGTAATATTTTCTCTGAGATGCATACCATTCAATTCCAATTTAGAATTGAGATGAACATTTTATTTGCCACTACTCTAAATTTTTAATTTTTCTCTAAAACACCTAGTAAAAAATATAAGGTAGCACATAAAATGCCTTGTAATTTTTCTTAACAAAAGTTATGTATGAGCTTGCTTGTAGATAGTTACTGAAATTAGCAAAAGCTTCAACCTGAAAAGGAAATTCCATACGTGCTGAAGATCTTACAGGTATTTTTTATTGAAAGATCACTTTCCTTCAATAATGGACATTTTACATTAAAACTTTATACAACCAAAAATCTCAAAATAATATTAAAATCACACTAAGATATTTTTCATTGTTGTCTCTACTTAATTTTATTATTGGTAAAAATATCGCAAGACACTTGTAACTAATGTTTCTGCTTTAAAATAAGCAATTAAACTAAATGTCACAAGAAGAGACAATACATACTATAATTTGCTGATAACTGGCTAAAATGATAATTTAATTGTAATGTGTAAGAAACAGTTGCACTTGAAAAATTAAAAAAGTAAACAAAAAACTAGTTAATATACAAATTTATGAACAGAGGTTAATTTGTTATCTTTGCCAAGAGAAGTGTATGTTTAAGTTAAAAAAAAAATACAAACATTTAACATAGCAATCATTCATTTAAAAAAAAAAGTCTTTTCTTTTTACAGAATATCCCCCATAGTTTGTTGATCAGAAAAGACTGCAACACAACTAAAGCAAAATAACACTTCATTGGTACTTAGTGCAAATTTGGAGTCATTTTACATGAAATATTGAACATGTACCCTTTAGAAGTTGCTGGAAGTGCTGTGACTGTCCTTTCCTCGGTGTACTCTTTTATTTTTGAAGACTTTAATATAAACTTTGTAACTGAGGTATTTCTTCCTACTTTGTTATGTGCTCAGTGGTATGTGAGCCAGTAGTGGTGGACTCATCTAGGATTCTTCATCATGACCTGATTTCTTCCCCTGTTCTCCACCCTTACTGTGGTATTACCCAAAGTTGACAGAATGAAAGGAAAAGCTCAGAAGAATTATCGTAGCACTATAATACCAGGGCTCTAGGTGGAAAGATTCCCATTAAAAAGTGTGTTATGTTAGTAATGAAATCACTGAAAACTAACAAATGCCTACGTGTTTGATTTATAAATGAACATCAGTATGGAAAACATGCAGTGGAATAGTAACTGCTTTCCACAGGAATAAAAATGATTAAAGTTACACTGATTCTTAACAGTCTGAAGGTCTAGTAAAGAGAATATTAGATCCAACTTGCAAGAGTACAACTATCTGCTTGACCACACCTGACAGCTGCTACCATGAGGCTGAGCCGTCATTTCCAGAAAGAAATGCTTTCTTTATGGTGAATGACAGAATAACAATACATTGCCTGTCAAATGAGCTCAGCATAAAGGAAGATAATGATGGATAAAACGTGTTTTTGCAGGAGAGGAAAAAGGAATGCAATTCCCCATGCGCTGGGCAAAGGACATGTACTTCTGTGGAGTCAGAATCTAAGAAGTTAGTATTGGCAACGTGTGGGTTTGCTGGTGGTCTATGCTTCATGCTTTTAAATTGCCATGTCCCCTTCTTTGGACCACAGGTATGTGTGGGATAGCAAGGCCACTTAAGACTCTGAGCTGTTTTTTAAAGGTAGCAAGGTGAATGCTCAAAACTATAAATGCTATTGAATAACATTCAACTCGATAAATATGAAATCACTCGATTACGGTAAAGAAAGAAACTTTCCACCGAAGTCCTTACTACAAAGGCTCCAAATCTTGGCTTCCTGTTAATTTTCCTTAAAGAAATATCCCTAAGGGAATATTCAGAGATAGTCAATGTGAGTAGCCTCTCTTACCTTATAATATCTGGTTTGGGGGGATTGGTTTTTTTTTTCCTCCCACTTTTCTTCTTTGGGTGAAATGAACCCCCCCCCCCCCCAGGGTTTTAAAAGCTAGATGACACTGGAAGCAGTGTATCCCAAGGTTCTCCTTTGGAACGGATCAGAAATTCGTCTGAAGAGTTTTGCCAAAATAGACTTTCCTGACCCAGACTCACAGGATCTAGTTTGGTGGGCAGGACGGAGATGGAGCCAGGATATCTTAACCACTGCATTTAGATTCTTAGAGATAGAAGAGAATCTGTAGCTTCCTTTCTTCATGATCCTAAAATAAAAATGTTCCCTAGGAGCTAACTGGGCCAAATGTTTAACACGTCCTTAAGGGAGAGTACTGGTACGACAGGACCTGTGGGACAACAGTGTCGTGGGAGTGAGAACTGACTTTCCGCGTTACAGTTCTGGATCAAGGAGAATTCAGAAAAGCAGACATGGGCAGAGCTGGCCGCCAGACTGTTAACTTAGGACTCGCGCTTACTGCATTCAGGAGCATGGGCGTTCTTGTTTATATGACCCTCCCTTTCTCCATTATGGTAGAAAAGGAAAGAGACTACCAAACATACGGTAGGGTAAATGTTCCAGGTAAAAGAAATCGGAGAATCAAAAAACCATTACAAAGATTGGCAAGAGTCATGTTCTAAATGGTGTGTGTGGGTGTGTGTGCAAAGGCTGTGGAAGGGGCATGGTAGGCTCTTGTGAGAAGTTCTTAGTTTGGAGATTTTGCTTCATGTGGTCCCTCGGATGGAATTTTCTCTTGAGAACGAGGAGGAGCTCAAGACACCAGGACCTAGGATTGTGGAAATACACTCTTTACAAGGAACGCCACTGATTCAGTTTCTAACATTATTTTAGAGCCTATAAAAAAACATGCTGCTTTTCCCTAGCTTGGTTTCTTTACCTCCTATAAAAAAAAATAAATAAATAACATGGGCAAGAGAAGAGCCAATAACTGGCAACAGGAGTGGATAAAAGTCATTCTACTTAATGATCTGTGGACAGTCGCTCCAGGCCTTGGCTTTCCTTTTGGCCAAAGCCAGCCAGGCTGGTTCTGTTGACACGGGGGCAGCATCTGGGGTTGAGAACCTCTTTGTGACTTCTTTCACCAGCGGCGTGGGGGGAGCTGAATCAGAGATCTCCACTGGATTGCGTTTTGAAGGAAAAGCATAAGAGTAAGTCACAGCCACATTCTGATGTATTAGAAGTACAAGATTCAGAAAGGAAAACCCAGTGAATCACTGGGCATCTTTAGTGAGAATTACAGAAAGAAAGCGATGTGATCAGAACTGTTGCATGCAGTAGTGCAGCTCCTTTTAATTTCAGAGTTTCTAGAAGCCTAATTTTTTCTGCACAGAAGCTATACCTACATGATAAGAAATACAAGGTAAGTTCTGTGATTCTCGTTATATAACCAGGAGATCAAACCAGCAGTCTGAATTTATTGAACAGGTGAGGTCAAAAGTTACCCTCTCCAAGGGTGCCCTGGGTGCTCCCCATCCCCGACTCTTGAGGCCCCTGGCTCCCCCTGCCAGCTCTCCCCACTTCCAAGCTTGTCTCACAATTCTAACACTTTCTTTACTAGACCTTAGGGACCTCTAAGGTGAGGGATCTGGGCTTATCTCTGAGTCTTATTTAGTGCCCATGGCAATGGCCTGCACAGAAACAGAACTCAAGAAATACTGATGGAAAAGACAAATGCTTCAGAACAAAGGTTTGCTTTACTGAGCTGTAGCCGCTCTGCACTGCATTAACTCTCTGGTACTTCCACAGAAGTCTGGCAGAGAAAGGTGTGATCTCTGTGACACACTCCTATGTTTAGAATCCTCAATTCTTCGGTGTAAGATCAAATGAAATTTTGCCCATGGAGGTTCTTGAGAAATTATACAGTGCTCCAATGTGGTTTTCAAATAGAAGTTTTCTTTTTCTCCTCACCAAAACAGTATATATAGCTTTAGTGGTGAGACTTCTATTTCCATCCTATAAGTAACAAAGGCATAAAACATGTCTGGGGGCGGGGGGGGGGGGGGGGGCGGTGCCCTCTAGGGAACAGGTTACCCAGAACAGAAAACAGATGGGAGGAAGCTCTTTCTGACTTCTGGCCATCCTCCAAGTGATGTCTATCAAGGAAACAGCTAGAAACATTACTGGATGACTTTAACAATAAAGAATTTTTAAAAAATGTCTTGTGTGTCATGAATAGGAAACGCTGCTGTTAATTAGTTTTAAGGACTCAGCTGAAAAACCTTGCTCTCTAAAGTCATGCTAGTCAGAAACTTGTTATTTGAAATCCCATCAGTGAGTAGAGACCGTCCCACTTTTGCCTGGAGTATCTGAACCACGTGGGTCACTGATTCAGAGAAGCAGCTTCCATTTCCAACCTGGGTGCAGAGCTCCAAGTAGGGCTTTTCAGATGCAGCCTCCACGCATTTCACTTCTGAGTGTCAAAGGAAACGGGACCCCTGAGTCCACTTTTCGGCTCAGGTTTGAAATCAACCCCTTTATATACAATCCCTGCTCTGCTTGGAAACTGCGAAGACCCCATTCCACTTACAAATTTAAAGATTTTTTATTTTATTTATTTATAGAGAGAGAGGGAGAGGCAGAGACACAGCAGAGGGAGAAGCAGACTCTATGCAGGGAGCCCAATGTGGGACTCAGTCCTGGGTCTCCGGGATCACGCCCTGGGCTGCAGGTGGTGCTAAACCGCTGCGTCACCGGGGCTGCCCATTCCACTTAAATTTTAACCTAAACTTCACCCTTCCCCCCAAATACTATTAAAATCTTGCCTCTTCCTTTCTTTAGGTGATTCCTATGGTGTATCAGCTCCCTTGCAGGAGCAAGTTAATAAACCTCATTTTGCTGGGACTAGAGGCAGTAGGGCGTGGAGAGGGCTTATTCGACACTCAGGAATTTAGGGGACCAGTTGATACCACACTGGTAGCTTGAAACTGGCCACGGTGGGAGGATTTACCCCATGAAAACTCAAATGCTCCAAATCAGGTCTCCCCGCTCGCTGCAGGGTGACTTAACCATATACCCTCACACCACGATGATGGGGAGTTCCTGGTGATCTCTGTCAGATGGACAAGTGGACTTGCAGGGCTGAGAGGCAAGGGCCTCACAGGCTGTGCTTGTGCTCACGCTCAGGATGTAGAGCAGCTATGAGAAGACAAGCCTGTAACCATGGTGATGCAGGGGCCTGTTCCCTACCTGTTACGGACGTAGGAAGAGTGTTGGCCTTTTTCAGCTGTTCTCTGCGCTCAAGCCTGGTTGCGGCAGTCTCCGGCTTCTTCTCTTCCAGCTGGGTGGTGGGCTTGTGCGGGGCCCCGGCTCTGCTGACACCGCTGCTCCCGGGCTGCAGGCTGACACTGACCTGGGTGGGCAGAGAGGCAGGCCAAGTGTGTTTTCCACTGAAGGTCATGGGAAGGCTGACCCTGCAAGGCCTTGGGGCCTCTGCCTGCCAGCCCCCAAGCCCTGCTCCTCAGGGGCGGCTGGACTCCACCTGGAAGCACGGAGCACTTCAGTACGAAGGTCTCAAAGAGGAGAAGCCGCTTCCCGAGGAGAGGCCCACTGAGCAGACTGCAAAGCCAGGGCCACAGAGCAAGACTCTGGATTTCCCCAACTCCTCCCGTAACCGCGGCGGAGGGGGACGGCTGCTAGGGGTCGTGCAGTCTACCAAGTCAGGTTGACCAAAGAGCACGTGGAGACCAGGCAAAATCACTGAGAACACTTCCCAGGCTTAACGGTGGTCAATCTATTGCTCTGCGCTATTTCTTCCCGACTCCCAGCTAGCTTCATTTATTTATTTTTAAATCCTCATGACCTAAAAGAGCCAAACTCGGGGAAGGCAGAGTTCAAGCTGAAGACCAGGCTACTCACATTCTCTTTGGAGAGCTTTTCTGCCTGTTTGGCCTCCCTGGCTTGCTTCCTCTCCTCTCGAGTTGCTTGCTGCTCCCGAAACCCCTTCTGCTTCTGCAGCGCTAATGTTATCCACAGCGGCTGTGCGGTTTCAACCTTCTCCGCAAGTTTGGAGCCATCTAAAGAGTGCCTGCTCTGAAGGACCGGCTTTTCTGTGGAAAAAGAGACGTGATGTTGCGATTATTATTTTTTTTAAAGATTTTGTTTTATTTTTATTTTTTTTTAAGATTTTTTTATTCATTCATGAGAGACACAGAGAGGGAGGGAGAGAGGCAGAGACACAGGCAGAGGGAGAAGCAGACTCCATGCACGGAGCCCGCTGTGGGACTCGATCCCAGGACTCCAGGATCATGCCCTGTGCTGAAGGCAGGCGCCAAACCGCTGAGCCCCCCAGGGATCCCCTAAAGATTTTGTTTTAGATAAGAAAGCAGAGAGAGAGGGACAAGCAGACTGTGCTGAGCATAGATTATGACCTGAGCGGAAATCAAGACTCACTTAGCTGACTGAGCCACCCAAGCGCCCCTCCCCTTTTCTAAAAGGATTTTATCTATTTGAGAGCCAGCACCAGCAGGGGGGAGGGAGAAGCAGGCTCCCCAGTGAGCAGGAAGCCCGACACCCAGCTCCTTCCCAGGACCCCAGGACCATGACCTGAGCCAAAGGCAGATGCTTAACCAACTGAGCCACCCAGGCGCCCTGATACTGTGATTTAGAAGAAATATATCTGGGGACACCTGGCTGGGTCAGTGGAGCATATGGCTCTTGATCTTGGGAGTCATGTGTTTAAGCCCCACACTAGGTGTAGAGATTAAATAAACTTTAAAAAAATGAAAAGAGAAATATGTATTTGGTCTTTGTGCCCATTTCTAGAGCACGGAGCTCCTAAAACCCTTGGAATTTCCTAAGTGATGGAGAGCATGAGAGCATAAGGTGTCTCTTGTTCTGTTAACGAGATGGCTTTGGGACCACCCCTAAGGATGGGGCTGGTTGCCAGAGGAGCCAACTATGTGACTTAGATGAACTGGATCTTTTGTTAGCAACGCCACCCCCCACCCTCTCCACCTCCGCGGAGGGGAGAGGGACCAGAGATTGAGTTTAGTTGCCAGTGTCTGAGGATTTAATCAGTTCCGCCTACGTAACAAAGCCTCCACAAAACCCAAAAGGACAGGGGTCGGGGAGTTTCTGCTTGGTGAACACATGGAGATTTGAGGGGAGAGGTGTGCTCTGAGGGCACAGAAGCTCCATGCCGTTCCCCACACCGTGCCCTTTTGTATCATTTCCATCTGCCTGTTCCCGAGTTACATCCTTTTATGATGAACTGGTTACCTGGCAAGTAAAATGTTTCCCCGAGTTCTGGGAGCCACTCTCGCAAGTTAACTGAACCTAAGGAGGAGGTCATGGGAATCTGTGATTTAGGTCAATCGCACAGGCGATGGCCTGGATTTGGGAATGGCATCTGATGGGGGGACCATCTTGCAGGACTGAGTCCTTAACCTGTGGGGCCTGATGCTGTCTCCAGGTAGCCGGCATCAGAACTGAGGGCTGCTGGTGGCATGGAGAGCCGCACCCCCCACAAGCCCCGTAGGCATTGTGATCAGAACCCGCAAGAGCAACAGCAGGTTTGCAGTGAGGCTGCTCACTCCCCCCCCCCCAACACTTGTGATACAAACTATTCAGCTGCCTTTCCTGACACGAACTGTGCACTGATGCCTGAGAGACTTCTCTCGGTGGGGAGGTCACATGTCTGATCAACAGACACAGAAGCATTTTCCTTCCCTCAAAATAAGATCTCCTGTGTCAGAAAATCTCAGGCCTACAGGGGCCCCAGGCTGTTATTTGATTTGTTGTTCTTATTGTTTATTAAACCCCTTGCCCCCAAACATCCTACATGGAACCCCAATGTATGAAAGAGGTAAAAGAGATACTGCTCTACCTAGTGAGGCTGCTGGGGGGGGGGGGCAGGACTGTGAGGAATGCGGAAGGAAACTGTGATTTGGGTCCAATGCTCTCCCCCGACAGGCAGGAGGCATGAGTGTCTGCAGCCACCCAGTGCCCTGCCCAAGGCCACTGGCAGTTAGTGCACAGGCTGAAGCTGGAACCTAGGACTTCTGCCTTCCAGTCTGTGCTTTTCTTGCGGGTGATGGCCTCGCCTATGCGACTGGGGTAAACACGCTTCACAGGTGGTTGGTATCAGAGGTTGAGTAACTAGACTTTTAAAGTGAGCAGCTACAGGTTTGACCTCACGTTAAACAAAAGCTACTTAATTTCCCTACGGTTTTCTAACCCACAAAGTAGAGACAATAATGGCACGTGACATGCCTCATCAGGCTGCCCCGAAGATGAAGAGATCCTGGGTATCAGGACATTTAGAACAGTGCTTGGCAAAAGTGGCTCTACAAAGTGACCTGTTCTTTACCATTTAGGTCTATGAAAATCACCCCCTTGTTTTCCCTCAAGGAAAAATTATGTCCTTTTGGAGAGATAATTATTCTGGCACTGAATCCTCTACTATGCCAAAGGGAAAGGGCTCACTATAGTCCTGTTCTTTTTGAAATCCACTAGAAGTTTACCCTTTGATGATCCTTACCAACCAGGGCTCTAAGGCAACTTGACTTTTTTTTAAGATTTATTCATGAGACAGAGACAGAGAGAGAGAGAGAGAGGGGGGGGCAGAGACACAACGCAGGCAGAGGGAGAAGCAGGCTCCATACAGGGAGCCCGACGTGGGACTCGATCCCAGGTCTCCAGGATCACGTCCTGGGCTAAAGGCGGCGCTAAACTGCTGGGCCACCTGGGCTGCCCTCAACTTGACTTTATATTGAGGAGAAAGAACCAAAGTAAAATCAAATTAAGAATTCAAGCACCAAAAAGGGGCAGATTCTGATTTTCTATACTTTTAGATCTATGACACTGCACAAAGAGAATTCCTATTTAAGATTTTATTTATTTACCTGAGAGAGAGAGAGAGAGCGCGCGCGCACGCGCGCGCGCGCACGGTGGAGGGAAAGGGAGAGAGAGAAGCAGACTCCACCCCTAAGCAGGGAGCCCAATGTGGGGCTCTATCCCGGGACCCTGAGATCATGACCTGAGCTGAAGGCAGACATCCAACTGACCCACCCAGTTGCCCTGAGAATTCCTATTTGTAATGACTCTTGGTCATTACACGATCCCTAATCATCAAATAAAGATTCAGGTGGGATCTCTCACAGTAAAGAAAACCAGCATTTTTTCTGAAGTATTAAAAAAAAATCTGAAAGATATTTTTAATTAATCTTTAATTAACCAAAAAAATCTAAAAAATACAGTTGACATTTGAAAACATGGGTTTGAACTGTGCAAGTCTACTTATGTGTGGATTTTTAAAAATAAACACAGTACAGTAACTGTAAATGTATTTTCTCTTACGGTTTTAATAACATTTTTTCTCTAGCTTACTTTAAGGATATATTATAATACATATAAATGTGTAAAATATGAGTTAATCCACTGTTTACATTATCAGTAAGGCTATCAGTCAATTGTAGGCTGTTAAGAGTTTAGTTTTTGGGGAGTCAAAGGTTATACATGGATTTAGACTGTGCAGAAGTTGGCGCCCCTAACCCTCACAATGTTTAAGGGTCAACTGTATTCACCACATGCAAGCATTAAGCTTAACCGAGAAGCTTTAGATACATGGGAACTAAAGTTTTGTTTTGTTTTTTTTTACTCCAGGGCAATGTAACACCTGTGTGTAAAATACCTGAAAAATCAAATTGCCAAGATCCAAATGATTTCTATTTAAAGCTATTATGTGAAAGGAATCCTACACTAAACATTCCATCTGAAGGTCATTAAAACAGCTGGCCAGTTTCCAGACAATTTTGAACGGTGTTTTATCACAGGGTCAAAATACCTTTAAAGTATGATTGCCTTTTTTTTTTTTAATTTAAAAAGGTAAAACGGGATCCCTGGGTGGCTCAGCGGTTTGGCGCCCGCCTTTGGCCCAGGGCGTGATCCTGGAGTCCCAGGATCGAGTCCTGCATCAGGCTCCGGCATGGAGCCTGCTTCTCCCTCTACCTGTCTCTCTCTCTCTCTCTCTCTCTCTCTCTCTCTCTCTCTCTCGTGTGTGTGTGTCTATCATAAATAAATAAATCTTAAAAAAAAACCAACGGTAAATCACTAGCCAGATTTTAGTTTCCTTAGAACGGTGGCTTGAATAGCATATTTTAGAGTTATGACCAGACTTTAAAAAGGCTGTAACACAATACATGTAAAGGCCTAACAAGTCTGGTTTGTACCTGGGGATCAACAAATAAAAAAACATTTTAGGATGGTAAAAATGGGGCTCCTGTCTGAACTTCAGCCCGGGTTACCCAAAGGCCTTCAACAAATAATGACTCGACTCTCACATCCTAAAATAAAGTTCTAGATCACCTACTTGGGACTGGCCCAGAGAGCTACCACAAGGTCACAGAAAAATCAGAGTTGAGGTGGAAGAAGCAGGGGTAAAACATTTATTTAAACCTATTCTCTCTCATTCTAAACTCAGTGGACAAGGGGAAGCAGAGCCCATTCAGATTCTCTCCCCTTCAGGTTCTGGGGACAAGAGCAAGTACATGCTGGCCTTTCCAGGGCTTTAGCCACTGCTGCCGCAGGTAAGTACTTGGACAAAGGGCTGCCTTAAGGAGGTAGGAATTTCAGAATGAGATGACCTCTAGAGGACAAACAGGGGGATTACCACTGTTATTTTAATTCCCACTGTGGGTGGATTCAGAGTCAAAGCCCTCCCAGTGGCTCAGCCTACGAACTGGACCTCACCAGCCTTGGCCTTCGGGTTGGGAATCTCTTTCTAAAGCAGTGGTCCCTGGGTGGCTCAGAGGGTTAAGCGTCTGCCTTTGACTCAGGTCATTATCGTGGAGTCCAGGGGTCGAGCCCCCCATATGGGGCTCCCAGGTTAGCAGGGGATCCCTGCTCCTTACCCAGCTTGTGCTCACTCATGGTTTCTCTCTCAACAAAAAAAAAGTCCTTAAAAAATAAATAAATAAAGCAGTGGTCCACCAAAAAAAGAGGGGAGTATGTGCAAGGCAATTCAGGGGCTAAAGGAAGAAAAAGTTAGAATTTCTGATATATCTGTAAATCTAAAAAGAAAAATTGAAATCAAGCTTTTCTTTTATTCATTCATTCATTCATTCATTCATTCATTCATTCATTCAGAGAGAGCGAAGAGAGAGGCAGAGACAGAAGCAGGCTCCATGCAGGAAGTCAGATGTGGGACTCGATCCTGGGTCTCCAGGATCACACCCCGGGCTGCAGGCGGCGCTAAACCGCTGCGCTACCAGGGCTGCCCCTAATATTTAATATTTAGATTGGCACTGACATCCTCAGCCTAAGTACCAGAAGGCCATACAGAATGAACGTGTATTTACAGACCCCCGGGGGAAGTTGGAAGCACCAAGCGCAGCAAGGCAGGAGGACTAGGCAGGAGGACACCAAGCGCTGTCCTCACGTGTGTGCTTGCGGCCTACAGCGAGGCTACTAAGAACACAAACAAGAACTAGCAGAGCTGACAAGCTCTTCGCCTGTCACTTTATGAAGGCAGCAGGACGGAGGAGAACTTGGCCAAGGAAAAGAAAAGGTAGCACCGTGATTTGCAACATAGACTTATGTTCACCGCTGTTTCAGGGACCTTTGCCCTAAATGTATATGGTGCTGCGGGGGCTTTAGCTAATGACGGCACCACCGGTACACACTTCACAAATGAAACTGGAGACCCAGGCTTAACATTTTTCTGCTGATGGGGGTGTTCGATCAGACGCATTGGTCAGCCTGGCCTCGAATGAGGTGGGAAAATGCCAGCGGTCTCTGGCAACACCAACGGGGCCTGTGGACCTCACTCTCACGCTTCTTTTCTAACAAAGACAAATTCAATCAGCAGAGCCTGACAGCCCAGAATCTAGATACTTGGAGAGAAGACAGTAACAGTTTTTGGTAGAAAATTTTAATAATCAAAGGGACTTCTCTAAGAGTAAGAAGCACAACAGAGAGTTATTTCTTTGGAGAGAAGCTAAGGAGAGGGACGGAGTCCCCCAGACCGAAGGACTTTGAGGAGACCATAAAATCAAATGACAAACGCTAATGTTAAGACTAAAAATTGGGCTCCAGTTCAAGATGGCAACATAGAAGGTTCCTGAACTCCTCTCCTCCCATGGACACACCCAATATACAGCTACAAAGCAACAAATCCCTTTAAAAGAAATCCAAAAGCTAGCCCAGCAATTCCTACACACTGGATGAAAGAGGAAAACCCCACGTGGAAGGGGCTGGGGAGGCTGAGGCACAAGCTCACCATAAACCCACCCTCCTGTGCAGCAGCCCACAACTGGGAGGCAGGGAACTCACAAGTCCTGGCTCCTCCTTGAGGAACAAAGGGTTTGGACTCCACATCTGGTGCCCCAACTTTTAAGGCTTCTACCTGACAGGCCCACAAAACGCCCAGCTCTGAGAGCCAATGGGGCTGGCGAGCATGAGCCCCACAAGGTGAGAGGGAACCAAGGGGCGCCTCTTACCGGGTCTGCGGGACTCCCCTCGGCTACCCCAACACAGACCCCAGCACGGACTTAAAAACAAGAATGCAAACAAAAGGCTGAAATGTGGGCTCATCAGCAGGACCGACGGAAATGAGGGAGAAAGGGTCTGGAAACTGCTGGTCGACACGCGGTGCGTCTGAGGCGTGGTTAAAAAGGACGGTGGACCTTCCTTCTGCGAGGCAAGTAACCAAGCCGGCGCTGCTGGGGAAGCAGCTCCGGCCCCGCAGGAAGCTTCCTAAACGGCTGAACCAGAGAGAAGGCCTGCGGGCTTCCTAAAACACCTCGGGGAGAACTTCTCTGAGGAATGCAACTTCCTGGACTAGGACCCAACTTTACCTCCGACTCTACAAAACAGGAAAGAAAAGGCAATAGATGAAGGTTCTCAAGGGCCCCGAAGCCAACGCAGGTGAGACCACAGCCCTGACCGCGGCCGGGCTGGAGACGCCGCAGGGGCAGCCGCAGCGAGGCCTCGCGCCGCAAGCTGCCGGCACTGGGAGGCACGTGCGGAGCATTTTGCACAAAACCCAGCCGAAGCCAGTCATCCACCTGGAAGCTCCTCAGGCCGAAGCCGAGGCTGAAGGGCCCCTCTCCTCGCACCTTGGTGCCACTACGGCCCCGAGACGAGCGCAGCCTCCCGTGCGTCCCTGCTCGGGCCCGGGACTGCGGGCAAGCGCGTGCACGGGGGCCGCATTCCACGTTCCCGGGCACCCGGCAGCGCGGCGGTCCGTGCGGCACCTGAACTTGCCACCCGGGGCACAGCGGGCGCCCCGGGCAGGCGAGGCAGGCGAGGCGGTCCGAGCCCCCACCTACCTTTCCTCGCGGCCTCGGGGGTCGGGGGAGGCTTCTCGGGCCGCGCGGGCTTCCTCTCGGGGTCCGCCGCTTCCTCGTCGGCCCGCCGGGGCGCCTTCCTCCTCTCGGCGGGCGGCGGCGACGGCGACGGCGGCCAGGGGGCGCTGCTCTCCCGAGCCTCCCTGCCCGGCTCGGCGGCCTCGGGCTCCGGCCTCCCCGGCCGGCGCGCCAGCAGCTCCACCAGGTAGGGCCGGCTGAGCTTGGAGAGCGGGGAGGACGGGGGCGTCTGGCCGGCCGGCTTGGGCGCCAGGGCGGGCTTGGGCGCCGCGGGCCCCCTGCTGGCCGGCCGGTCGGCAGAGTCCTTCCAGGCGGCGGGCGGCGCCGGGCCGGGCGTGGGGGCCGCGCCCGCCGTCTCCTCTCCCGGCGCGCTCCCCGCCGGCGGCCCGCCCTCCGCACTGTCCCCGGTGCTGCTGTGCCTTTTCTTCCTCTTCTGTTCGGTCTGTTGGTCGCAGTGGAAGCGCAAGGAGTAGTTGGTCCTTCGCAATTTTATTCCAAAAGGCGAGGCCTTCTCCTCCTGGCCAGGCGCCGCGGGGTCCGGCCTGCCCCCGGCCCCGGTGGGCTCCCCGTCCGGCGCGGCGCCGGCCTCCGCGGGGGCCCCCGCTTTCTGCGGCGGGTACGGAGGGCTCGGAACCAGGAAGGACGGGAGGTCTTTGGCAAACTTGCATCCCTCCGTGGCGTCGGGCTCGGGCCCGTCTGCGCCCCGGGGGCGCTCGCCAGTAGCCGGGGGCTGCGGCCCCGACGCGTCCCCGGGCCACGGCGAGGGCCGCCTCCTACCGCCCTCCGCCTCCGCGTTCCGTCGGGAGGTCTCGGCGCCGCCGTCGGAGAATTTCTGCCAAGCGGGCTTAATGGAGAACTTGGCGCTCAGCGGCGGCGTCTTCCGGAGGCTCCCGCGGGAATCCCACCGGGCCCGGGGCGGCTGCTCCTCCGCCGGCCGGCACGGGCCCCCGTCGCCGCGCCGCTCAGGCTCGGCGCCCCCCAGGATTCTGGATCGGATGGACGCCCACTCGGCCAGCGCGGCCCCAGCGGCCCCAGCGGCCCAGCGGCCGCGGACTCCGGGGCGCGGGCCTTCCCGCTGCCCGCCCGCGGCTCGGCGGCTCGGGGCGGCTGCTCCGGGCCGGGGCCATCCGCGCGCCTCCTCTCTTCCGACAAGCCCAGGAGAGACTTGCACGCCGTGTCCTTGATCTGGCTCAGGTTGACGGCCGGGCCGCACAGCTGCGCTCCCGTGACCAGGATGGCCGTGTGCGGGACGCCGAGGGAGGAGGGCAGGGCGGGGGGCGCTGGGCTGGGCCTGGGGGTCCCGGGCTCGTGGGCAGCAGGGGCGGGCCCCGCCTCCGTCACGGGCGTCACCGGGCTCAAATTGACTTTGGGGAAGAGAATCTGTTTCCCTCCCGACGACACCTGGAAGGTGTAGGGCCTGGGCATGGTCTGCCGCTCATCCACCTCCTGCCAGCGCAGTTCCTCCACCTTCCGGTCGGTCTCCGGAGCGGCAGCTTCCTTCTCCCCCCCGGGGGCCGGCGTCTCTTCCACGGGCGCCTCCTGCTTCTGCGGAGGCTGCGGGCCGCTTTCGGGTCTCTTGTCCTGACGTGCCCGACGGCCGTGCCAAGGAAGATCCCCGCGCTGCGCCTGCTGCTCCCCGGACGGCTCGGCCTCCCGGCTCTGCTTCTCGCAAATCCTCGATTCCTCAGAGTTTTCTCTTTGCTTCTCGAGCTGCAGGTGCTCGCGTTTCCCGGGCTTCTCTGCAGAGTCCACCTGCAGCGCGCTCCTCCAGCCCCTCAGGTCCTCCAGCTGCGGCCGCTTCTCCTCGTGCCCTCGGGCGGCCTCCCGCCGCTCCGCTACCGGCCGCTGGGGCACCTCCACCTCCTCCCGCTTTCCCAGCTCCGCCCTTCTCTCTGCCGCCGCCGTGGCCTCCTCCTCCTCCTCCTCCCGCCCCTGCTCCTCCTTTTCCCTCTGCTCCTTCTCCAGCCGCCGCTGCTCCTCTTCCAAAAGCAGCTGCTCCTCCCTTTGCCGCTGTTCCTCGTCCCGCCTCCGTTGCTCCTCTTCCAGCCTCTGCTGCTCCCCGCTCTGCCGCTGCTCCTCCCTTTGCCGCTGCTCCTCTTCCAGCCTCTGCTGCTCCTCCCTTTGCCGCTGCTCCTCCTCCTCCCGCTGCTGCTTCTCGGCTTCCTGCCTCCGCTGCTCCTCCAGCTCCTCCTGCCTCCTGAGCTCCTTCAACTCTCTTTCCTCTTCTAACTGCCGCTGTCTCTCAGCCTCCTGCCCTCTCCACACCGCCTGTTCTTGGGCCTCCAGGTGCCTTCCTTCCTCTTGCTCTCTCCACTCCTGGCCTTGGCCACTTTGCTCTTTGAGTCTCTGCTTCTCCTCTTTGCCCTGCCCCTCTTCTGCCTCCAGCTGTAGTTTTGTCTCCTCTCCCTCCCTGTCCTCTCCTTCCTCCTCCAAGAGCTCTTGTCTTCTATTCTCTTCCCAAAGCCTCCTCTCCAGGGCCTGGAGTCTCTGCTCTTCCAGACGTCTCCTCTCTGCTGCCTCGGCCTTTTGCCGTTTGCACTTGGCCTCAAGTTCTAGCCAGTATTCCTCTTGGCATCTCTTTTCTTCTTCGGACTCCAGCAGCTCTGGTTCCTCTTCGTGCCAAATTGGCTTGTCTTCTCCAGAGTGTCCGTTCTGGTCGAGGGACAGCTGACGTGGAAGGCCACCTTGTTCATTTGGTCGATCCTAACGTTGGTAAGGAAAAAAGAATTAGCCTTTGCCTTTGGCACAGGCAACCACTTCCCACCCTATCACAATGTCGGTGGCCCTCTTCATCTCAGAAGGGGCCGCTGTTCCTAAGTATAGAGCTAGGTAAACCCAGGCCAGCACACCAGGAGTAATTGCAAGGGTGGAGGAAAACACATCACCTTCGTGTTTACTCAATAGCCCCTTTATTGGTCATTCTCACATTCCTTTTGCTCAGTACAAATGAATCGTAGGAAAACCAATAGCCCAGCATTAGAAAGAGGAGGAAATAAAGTCCACCCTTGTCACACTGAAGAACCTTTGGCTAAGCCATAGCAGGAGAGCTGGGTCACCTTTCTGTGGCAAACCAAGTACAAAGTGTTCAAGAGGCCCTCAAAGGGCAGCCTCTCATTCTGAGGTCCACCAGCCCCCAGGCAGACAGCATGTTAGAAGGGGCGATGGAAAGGAAATGGGCCTGCTGGCCCTTGTTCACTGCAACACACCAGGTCCCTCATGGGAGAGACCTAGGTCCTTCTACTGGCCCCTCCCAGCACCACCCCCTTTGGCAAAAAAGCAAGCAAGGGCATCTGCCCAGTCAGCCTGGAAGGGCTCTACATACCCTGGCAAGTCGCCTGTGCTTCTTTGACACCCTCTGGTTTTTTGGCTTAACGGACAATTTGTGCTTGGCAGCACTATTGTCCAGGCGAGCGATGGCCAGGGGGATGGCATCTAGGTTGACACTTTCGATGGTTCCAGCAGAAGAGAAGTGCCTTTTTGGCCGAGACGGTTTAACTGGTGCCACCTGTATGGAGATTAAACCACAAAGCCCAGATCAGAACAATGTGTGAGGAATCCCAGAGCGGCACCACTTGCTAGAGACTGCACCTTGCCTGGCCCGGCCCAGGGACCGCTTCGAGCAGACAGGGCTCACTGGGACAGCGAGGTGAGCACTGCTTTGGGAATTAAAAGAAGACACTGACTTTTTATTTGGCCACTGACATTTGCATTAACTCATAAAGGTCATATAACCTTTCAGGGACTAATTTTCCTGCTCTGAATAATACGTGGGGGAGGTTAGATTAGATGGGGTGGTTGACAAAACTTAGCCAGGGGGCCCAATCCTGCCCACAGCCTATTTTGGTAAATAAACTTTTGCCAGCACACAGCCATACCCATCCTCTGTTGTCTTCTGTTGCTTTTGTGCTACAAAGGAAGAGGCAGGAGAGTAGCCTGGTTGGACTTTATGGCCATATGGCCACAAAGCCTAAAATAAGACATAGTTTGCTGAGCCCTAGATTAGCTCATCTCTATGTTGAGGATTCTATCATCTAAGACACGACGTCAGACACCTGCAAACGTCCCTCAGCTTCTACCTTAGCCCTTTGAGTCAGGGAACGTGTCTTTTTCATCTTTTCATTCTCCTTTACGCCCAAGTAGCAAATCTCATTTGGCAAGTGCTCAATAAATATTTTTTGGAGGAATGAAGGAACAAGAACAAAGTATATCTATCATCTATGCCTAGGCCATGAAATTGCTACCCACAAAAATGTTCTAGCACAAAACTGCTACCCACAAAAATGTTCTAGCACAATCACCCCAAAGCCACAGAGCCCTGAGTCGAGTGCCCCAAGCAACTGAAAGGGGGAGGCCCCCAGGTGGAAAAAGGGTGGGCAGAAACGTGCCGCACAGGGGCAAGGGCAGTCCCTCACAGGATGAACTGCAGCACTGTAATGCAGATGCGCAGCCTCAACAAACTGTACATATTTAGAGAGGTCAGAGAGACCACAGCTCAGCCTGCACCCAGAGGGCACCCCTGTAACTACTGAGCATTCCTGGGCAGGCAGCCAGGTGAGGGCTCCCAGCTCCACCCGCCTGCGTGCGGCAGGGGGCGCTCACGGCCCTGGCTGCGCTGCCCGCAGCTCCCAGGCATGGGGGGGGGGGGCCAGCCCTGGCGAGGCCAGGGTTCATGTGCTGGCACTCATGCTATACATGCAGAGCCAGTGGGGCTTAGCTGACAGCTTTGCTTTTTAAGATTACCTTCCATATTTATGCACAAGATAAAGGACCAAGCCAGGTCCAAGGCCAAATGGATGCTCAGTAAATAACAAACTTACGATAAGCAGCACAGAAGTAAGGCAAAATAATCCCAGCCTTTGGGCTCCTAGCTTTTATTTATTTATTGTTATCTTTATAAAAGGTATCATATTCTGAACTCTTGTTGAAAAGAGATGAATCAAACATTTATTTCCATCCCCTAATAGATGCATGAATAAAAGACGTTAGAGCCCAATGTGATAGACTAGGGGCACAGAGAAGGATCTGAAGCTGAGATTTAAATGCAAAGCTTCGTTTCTGGTTTATTCCAGCTGGGCTGCTTCACTCTCTGGGTGGTGGCACTGTCTTGAGCCATCCGCCCTTCAAAAGATTCTGGGACCTACTCTGCTCACTGTACCAGACCCTGGGGGTATGCCTAGACCCCTGTGCAGGTGGAGACTGCTCATGGCAGTTGACAGGCCTCTACAGGAGAGGGGCACACAGGCCCCCCCAGAGTTCCCTGGACACCTGCAGGCCCAGGCCCCAGTTTCAACAGAACACAGAATAGTTAAAAAGCAAAAATACACACAAGTAGAGACATGCCAAGGTCTTTTTTCTTTTCTTTTTTTAAATATCTAAATAGAAGGAGACTCTTTTCCTTACAGACCTGTGTACCTCCAGGTGTTCTGGAAAGTCTTTTTCAATGGCTGAACAGTGTCCTGAAGTACCCGGCACATTTAGGAAAATGACCAGCGTCTCTGTGCTCAAATACGCACGTGCTGGGCAGGGGCTGTTTTTCAGGGCAGGGGTCAGTCTCAGCAGGTGCACTGCTATGGAAATAGATGCTCTAACCTCTACCACTGGTTCCGTTCTGAAGGGATTTAAGGTAAGGGGTGAAGGCAGCATTTATGATTGGAAAAATGAGACAGGAGATTGAATAAAGGGGGGGGGCGGAAATGGAAGTTGAAGTAAAGAAACTAAATACATAAGTTCAAATCCTATTACCTTCTCTTCCATCTCACTTCTGGTGCCAGGCAGATTCAGAGGACTCCGAGAACTTGGCGTATCACTGGGCTGGAACAGGAAAGAGAGCACTCAAGTCAAACGCCGGAACAGTGGGTTCTGGGCAGACAACCAGACACCGCCGCGGGTGGAAAAGGCTGCAGCTGGCTTCAGGGAGTCGGCAGGAGGCATGGTGGGGACCTTGCTAATGTCCAGACAAGGACTCCTGAGGCACAGAGTGTACACTTTCTTCTTTTCCTGGTTTGGCACATTTCCATCCAGGCAGTCTCTAAGCTCAGCCTTTGATGTGTTTCCCCACCTCTCAGAGAGGCCAGGTGCCACCCCCTAGCCACCCCACCTGGGAAGCGGGACGGTGTCACACTCGGCCTGCAACCTCCGAGGTTTGGCTGTGCTCGCTGCCTTCCACCCCCTTTGCCTGCTGGACCTCCCCGCTCTATGCCAGACCTCTTCTCTCTGAGAAGAAAAGGACCTAGTGATGCTGTGTGCAAACAACTGGGCTGAGAAGGTGGATGACCAGAGGAGAAAAAGACCTCAGGATGGGAGGAAGAAGAGAAAGGCTGAAGATCCCAGCCCAGCTGCTCACCTGCCCCAGGAATGCCCACACCCCACACCACATCACCTGCACCTTTCTGATGGCCCACCATACCTTCTACTGTGCATGGCCAAGATCTGCAAACAGCTGTTATCGTCCCTCCCAGAGCAATAGTGTCAGCTTGTCCTATCTCAGCCTGTTTTCTGCACCACACTTAGAAGCATCTTTAGAAAACACAAATCAGGGATGCCTGGGTGGCTCAGTCAGTTGGGGCATCGACTCTTGGTTTCAGCTCGAGTCAATGATCTCACAGTGGTGGGACTGAGCCCAGGGTCAGGCTCGGCACTGAGCTGAGCGTGGAGACTGCTTGGGATTCTCTCTCTCTTCTCGCTCTGTCCCTCCCCCATTGCTCATGCTCTCTCTCCTTCCCCCAAAAAAATTAAGAAAAAAAAAAAAAGAAAAGAAAATACTAGTTAGATTATGTCACCATCCTGCTTAATATACTCAGAGGCTTCTATTATTCTCAGAATAGAATTCACCCTTTTCCCGTGGTCTGTACTATCTGGCCTCTATGTCTTGCTCTATCCTCCCTTTGCCCCCTCCAGGGTCGGGCCAGCCACAGGGAGCTGATTTCTTTTGGGACAAAATCACCGTCAGCCGTCAGCCCCATCTTTGGGCCTCTGTATTTGCTCTTCCCTCCACCTGGAACACAGTCCCCACCTCCAGGTCACTCTGGCTGCTGACCTTATCTAAAGAACAACCCCTGACCCACCTTGTTACTCACTTTTCCATCGCTCTGTTTTACTTTTTGTGCATTTTTCTTGATCCAGAGTTATTATATTTATTACATTTATTATATAAATAAGTTATTGTATTTATCTCTGTTGACTTGCCATGTGACTAATCTGACTCACCTCTGTAATACCCGCAGCTGGGGTAGTGTCTCCTTCTCCCTCAGGCCACAGTCCCTGGCACTTATGAGCTCCTCAGTAACAGTGAGGACATTGCTCAGTCCTTGGGAAATCTCTGCATTAAGGCTGGTGGCTGTTGCTGCCGCCTAGCACTGCAGAGGCTGGACCTAGTGGAGGGATGGGCCCCATCCTACTTTACCCACCACACCGCCCACCACCCACATGTCTGGGAATCAGGAGTCTTAGGGCCGGACAGAGGTGGGCAACAGCGGGGAACGGCCTGCTCTTTCCTTCCTCACTTTGCTTTGCAAATCACTTCTCTTTCTTACTGCCTTTATGACCTATTAGCTGGCCATAAGCATAACTTCTTGGGGCACATCCATTTGAATAACATCCAGCGTAATTTCAGGCGCCTTGGCAGGCAGAGTACCGAAGATGCTTTCTGTTGAGACTGGAAGATTCTGTGCCTCTCCTAGAGAGCTCCCTGCTCCAGCTGCTGGCGAGGCCTTCCCTCCTTCCCCACTAGATGCCTGAGGATATCCCTTCTGCTGCTGGAAGGACTCTCATTCTGGGATATGCTCATGATGTTTCTTTCCAAGTATCAAGACTGAATTCAGATAGGACAATGCTGGACGAATGTGACTTTCTTCCCTCATTAAGTAGACTTCAAGCTGGCCTGTTTGATCATTCTGTCTCCCTAAGCACCTACTTCTTTCTTTTCTCATTTCCCTTTAAATGACTCCACTTTGACAAGTAATTACTCCGTGCTACTAAGTAAGCACTAGCTAAGTCCTGGGGAGACAGAGATGTAGAAGATCCAGTTTGTGCTCAAGGAAGTCAACATTTAGAGACAGAGGGAGAACAATTATGCAGATGTGGAGAGTACGGATGTGTAAAAAGCACAGAGTTGGTGCAATTAAGGTACAGAGGAGACAGCACGGCTGGGAGGTAAGGCTGGGTAAGGCTTCCCAGGAGAGGTGGGCCACCCTGAGTCTTGAGGAAGTGGCAGATGCTGTGAGGAGTGAATGCCAAGGGCATGTCTCCACTTCCACAGGCCCAGCCGCCTCTCCCAGTGGTGACCGACCAGGAAGTGCCCTCCGGCCCAGGGCCTCTCATCAGAGAAGCTTCTCTCACATATTCCCTGCACTGCAGCCCCAAAAGCTATTGGATGCCCCTGCCCACTACCCGACATCCTCCCCTCCCTTAGCAATCAAGTCCTTTCCTGGAGGAGCCTTACTTTGTTCTCGGTGTCTGAGAGAATGATGTCCTCCTGAGTCACAATTTCCATGGGACTGGTCAGGAACAGATCCTCTTCTAAGCTAGCCTCACCACTGTCTGCCTTCTTCATGGGAATGGCATTGGGTGGTGGCTGCCCAAACTTGATGTTTTTGCTCAACTGTCGCTGGAGACAAACAAAAGAAAGATGTTCTGAAGCAGTGAAGCAGTTCATAACAAGTGCAACCAGATGCCCCAGCATATCTAGTAGGCACTGAGGCATGTTCTGTGCACCTTTCTAGACTAAATACCATGCCAGTAAGCCACGATGCAGTCCTGTAATAAGTGAATTTGTTTTCCTGTTTCCTTTCTTTTCCTTTCCCACCTTCAAGCCATGAGCTTTTTCATCCAGCCACCTCTTTCATGGAAATGCCAACATTATCCAGGGGGTAGAGAGTCCATATTTCTGAACCAAAAGTTGGGATACACGTTATGACAAAAATGTTCTGATTAACCTGTACATTTATTCATAAAAAAGTCTTCAAAGTATAAACATTGTATAGAAAATAGTCACATGAAATAGGAACCGCTGGAGGAAATCTTTTGTTGGAGACATTCTCCTTGAATATGCGTTAGCCACCTTCCTCACCAGCCCCTAGCTTGAATACCATGTTCCAGTCCCAGTGGGCACCAAGGTGAGGGAGGCTCCAGGGCTGGCAAGTCTTTCCATGATCAATGCAGAAATCACGGAAGGCACAGGAACAATCTTGTCCTGCCACAGGGGCTTCTTTTTGCCTTGCTGCAGCTAGGTGCTGTGAACTGTGGGACAGAAGGGACCACGGGGAAGGGACAGAGAAGTAGGCAGAAGGGAAGGGCCACGCAGGGATTTGTTATAGGCGGCAGGTAGCGAGAAGGGTGTGTGTGGGGGGGTTAGAAACGGGGTAGAAATTAGGAAGAGAAGTAGTGTTTAGAATTCGAGAAAAGCCAGATTAGAAAAGAAATATATTCTCTGAAGAAGAAAAAAAAATATAAATATTAAAGAAAGGGCAAAATATTTAATGGGCCGTGGCAGAGAAAATGAACAACATTCAGAAAGAAAAAAGGCTATGCCGTGGCCACCTGCAAGACCACTGAATTAAATCTGTAGAAGCTCCTGCTTTCATCGGCAGCAGGGTTTCTCAACCTCAGCACTACTGACACTTTAGGCCAGATAATTTTTTGTCGTGGGGAGCTGTCCTGAGCATTGTAAAATGTTTACAGCACCCTCGCCTCTAGGCACTAGATGCCAGTAGCAATTCCTTCCCCGTCGAGACAACCAAAAACGTCTCTGTAAGTTGCCCAATATCCACTGTGGGGATAAAATTGCTTGTGGCTGAGAGCTACTGCTCTAGATCTAGGTACTTGAGCTGCATAGTCCTTTTATGCCTAAAAAAAAAAAAAAAAAAAAAAAAAAGTGCATTATCTAATATTTATCTTTAATCTGGCTAACATTTAATCCCATAGAGCTGCAAAGAGCCTTAGCAATCACATAGTCCAACACCCTTATTTTATTAAAAATGTCAGAGGTTAGTGGTGAGAGGTGACTGGCTCAAGCTTATGGAAAGAATGAGTGGCCACAAAGGGATTTGAATCCAGGTCTCCTAAAACCATCTCAGTGTTATTTGCATTGCATTCCACAAGTTCTCACAAATTTGACATTGTGCTTTCTTTCTTCTTTTAGGGGCAGAAATAAAGAGATGATGCGGCAATTTTAATACCTTGCCGAAGTTCCCTGGCAGGGGAATCCCTTGAGGAAAATGCCCCTTCTGAACTCAAGGGTACTAAATCCACCCACCTGTGCCCAGCTCCCTCTCAGCCTTGCATGGCAGACGGTGAGACTGCAGAGACATGGAAGAGATGAGCCCAAGACTCCCCTCCCCGCACCCCAGGGCACCCCCCAGCATGCCAAGTCAGGAGCACAGAAAGACAGAGGACTTGTATTTGATCTGCTATTCAGCCTGAGCCTGGCTCCCCTGGTGCCACAGGGGAGGAACACACATCCAAAGCCCCGAGTTCAGCCAGTGAAGTACAGCCTGAGCAGCCTGAAAGGGCATCTGGGAAGAGAAGGCTGCAAAAGGGTGTCTTCTCAAAACAAGTTTAGCAGGAAGCAGCAGTTAGTATCTATGCTGTGCAGATCAATAAGCAGGCACGGTTAGAGCAGCCGATGGAGATAGACAAGAGGACATGGTGTAACAAAGTCAAAGGCCCAGCTCACTCTGCTGACCTGTGGGAGAGGAACAGGGACCTGGGCAGAAGAGGTGGCATGGTTGGTTCCTGTGTCCTAGTGAAAGCCCTAGCAGGTCCCTTGGAGACTCCCAGCCCAGCCTTTGGTTTACCAGTTATCCCTGCTCTGGGAGTGCTGGCCAAGAGCTGGAGAGTGTTCTAAATCCCCGTAGATGGAAACGGAAACTCCGTTGTCAGCGGTTGCCCTCTCTCAGTGCTCCTGAACCACTAAGATGAGGGTATTTCTTCTAGTTATCACAGAATAATTCTTTAACGAGCTTCCAAGGAGAACCTGGCCTAACACTCTAATGCCATTTGGTTAGGACTTTTTGCCACCATCACACACAAAAAAAGAATGAATATGCTAATATTTTTCTTCGTTAGGGCACTTTTTAGAATACTTATGTTGCTCTCCCCTGATGCTTAAGAGAGAAACAAGCATATGACACGATGTAATTGCAGTCTAAGTGGAAATAAGCTCCAAGGTGGGATGGGTGTCGTGGTAAGCAGTGGAAGAGCTACGAGACAATGGCAGGAGGAAATGGAGGGAATAAGAACAGGAGAAATAGGGCACACGGGATGGAGCAGGAAAAGTGGAGAGGGTGGCGCTGAGAACTGAAGCAGAGAATGAAATCAAAGAGGCGGGATGAGAGAAGAGTGCAGGGGCAGAGGCTGAGCAGAGAGGAGGGTGCAGGGGTGTGGCCATGGGCCTGGCGGCAGGTGTGACAGCTGAGGGTGGAGAGAAAGGGAGGGAAGAAGAGGTGGTGGGAGGGAATGAGAACGTGTGCATATCAAAGGGATGATTTATGTCACAGAGATGTTCATCCTGGCAAAAGAAACACAATGCTGTTGCCTTTGAGAATAACAATGTGCATTTCTGTAAAGCCACTGATTTAAAATCCCTCTAGAAAAAATAAATTCAGGCTAGTGGCTGTGAGCTGAGGGGAATGGAGGAGGGGAGGACCCAGGTCATCAAAGAAATACTGGCTGCTTTCGGGGATCGGGCTGCAGCCTGTCTGTCCAGACAAAGGACTGTCTTCCTAGACACACCTGCAGCTGTCAGGGATGAGACTGCAGAAGTACGCCAGGGTAGGACTTAGGGTTCAAGGCTATGGTGACTGATCCTCAGGTTGTCAAGGCCGAGGCTCCTGCACCTGCATGTTTTCCCTCACCTGTGGTTCCTGCTCCAAATGCTTCCTTCAGCTGACTCAAAAGAGACAGGGCTGTCAAGACACTGTGTGATTTATTGACAGTTAAAAGGTGACTCCTGAAACCCATTTGGCAATCTCGGGTGTCATGTTACTTGAATAGAGAGATCAGTGTGACTTTCTTTTGTGACTTTCATTCTGCCCACATTCAGGCATTGTCATGAGAGGAACTTTGATACAAAGAATCACTGAAAACCAGATGGTTCAGAGGGAGCTTACCCTCATCAACTAGGACCACTCCCTCCCTTCCACCTACCACCCCGGGGGGCTCTTCGGATACACTGCACGTACAGCCAGGGAGGAGGGGAGAACGCTGTGCCTACGCCAACCGTCCGTGCTGCCTGTGGCTGTGAATGGGGTTACTGTTGGGACTGGAATGTGAGCTAAAAGGGACTATATTTTATTCATTCAAATTGGGCCATTTTGTTGTAATATGGAATGCCAGAGAATGATGTTATAGGAATGCACATCCATATTTATGAGACTTTTTTTCCTATGGTGTGGGAATTCCAAGCACATCATATTCTGCAGCTCTCACGCTGCCAGTATTTAGGTTCCCCCAGATTTTTCACAGACCATGTCTATGAGAACAAAGCAGAGGAAAAATAAAGTTGCTGTCTTCTGAGTCAACTACAGATATGCCCACAGTTAAAATAAATTTTTAAAGAGAGGCGGAAGAAAAAGCATGTAGATTTAAAGACATCTGCTCTATGCAGAAGTGGCTAAGAGCGGGTATTTCTTCTCTGTGTCCTTGACAGCTGCACAAGGTGTCAAAATCCTCAAATTTATGAGACTTTGGCATTTTTAAGTGAGATCCAGCTCAGCAGGAGCCAGGGGCTACTGAAAATGGAGGCTTTCCCTCCTGAGCTGAATAATCCATGGACTAACAGAGTTATTAGCTCTTCCTGACAAGGGTGTGGCATAATTCTAAGTATCACCTGCAGGCTTGGACCGTGATGTTCCCGCCTGAGTGTCATCATCAGTTGTTACACAACTGGGTCTGACCTGAAATAAGTAGGCACCTCCCTGACCCCTCACCTGGGCAGCTGTAAGGAACCTCAAGGTCACTGAGGTCCAAGTGCACAGAAGCGTGAAGCTCATCAAACTGCTCTGTGCTATGGCAAATGAGGAGTGATTCCATATAGATGGCAGACTTTAAGAACTGGGGGTGGGCCAGGTCATCCATCATATTCATCCCCTTATTTTTCAGATGGGGACACTGAGGGTCAGGGAGGTATAAAGACTGCACTGGAAGCCACACGGCCAGGTGGTGGTAGGGGGCCTGGCACAGATTTTTTATTTCACCCACTGGCCGTGAACAACTGATGGTTGTGTGCAGGGTCTTTAAAAGGGGCGCCACTGTTGGCTTTGTCCCTATAACTATCCTGTATATTAAAGTTTGTTCTCCCTACAAACATGTATTTTTTTAATACTCGGGGGAAAAAAAAGTAATTTTTCTTGTAAAGGTTCAATCATCTGCCACAGAAATTTCACCCAGTGATAGACTGACTTGATTTGGAAAAGTGTAGGCTTATTATTCATGCTGAATTTAGCCATCCTGCACTCAGAGAGGTTCCAGACCACTGCAGTGCAAGGTATGGCCAGCGGGCTGGGCTGACCACGTGTGGACACTAGAGGGCAACCTTTCCCAACACAATCAGTGCACTCACTGTTCTGGGGTTTTCCAAGGGCTGAGAAGTTTCTCAGACCAGAGAAAAATGGCCTCCCCCCACCCCATGGCATTATGATACAAATCTCATTTCAAAAAAATGTCTTAATAATAGTGGCTAATCAGCCTGCCAGGATGTCTACCGTCAAATAGGTGTCCATTACTCCTCTCTGTTTTTAATAAACACATATACATACACAAACACAATTTTGGACATAAAAAACATACATGCCTCTGACATAACTAAACACCCTCATTCCATGCTGGAGTCTACGAGGGGGCGGTCTTTTATGCTGCTTACTAAGCATCAATACCAGCATAAAGTTGTCATGAAAAATGCAAAGCATTCATGCAAGTTAATAAAGTTAACCACTATTTCTATGACTTACCAGGAACATACTGCTTAGTCGACTGAAAAATAAAGCACAGTCTTTTGGGGGTGATACAGTTATATCTTAATGTCACTCCAAAAATCACATTTTCTATAACGGTCCCCATTTCCCTCCTCAAAGAGTAAAGTCTCTTTATTTTTTAAAAAAATATAATGATGGAGCTGAAGGAAGACTGTGAGTACACAGAGCAGAAGCAACATTAGGCAGACCTTGTATGAGTAGATATTGTCCAAAAGAGAGCACTCAGATTATTTACTCACATTTTTCTTCTTGTTATTAATAGAATTGTTGCTTCAGGGAAGTTGGCTTACATCTTAATTGTGAGATCAGATTCTTTAAACTTGCGCCTTGCAGTGTTATTAGGAATAACTGACACACATATTTTTACCAAGTTGCAACAGTGCAGAATTACATATTTTTTACAACTCCAAACCCACTTCTCAGAAAGGCAGTGGCATGCAGTGTGATGTTAACACAGACATCATTTAAGACAACACACTATTATCTAATCTTTAAAAAACTCCTCGAAAGCCCTCATAAAATCCAGCTGTTTCATGGACTGAACTCTGGACGTCACTCCTCTTGGAAAGGGCATATTATGAGCCAGGGCCCCAGAACTTAAGAAAAATGGTCCAGAAATCAAAAGACTTCAAGAAGGAAAGGTAAGGTGGGGAGGGGCCCAAGGTTTTCTGCGGCGATCACCACCCCTTCCTCTTCTCCAACCTATGAGAAGTGACAGCTTGCTTTTTCTTAGCAAGTTCTTAGCAAAAACTAAGAGCAGAGCCTGGGTAGGACGTGCTGGAATCTGAAGGAAGGGCCGAGGTTAGCCCTGAAGGCAGGACGGTGGCCCTGGGTAGTGCTTGGCAGGAAGGCTGAAGATCCAGGCAAGTTCGGTCTGTTTCCAGGGTGTTCGCTATTTCCCCGCCTGCCATATGCTATATTCAGCTGAGTGTGTGTGGACGTGTAACCAAACACAGGTCACAAAATGCATAGCTAATGCTCAGTAGAAACAAGAACATTTCAAGAAAATAGAAAATTTCCTTTGAGTATAATGCTTCATTGTATTGGCAGCTACTCAAGCCAGCTGTTCCTCCCCCCCCCATTCATTCATTTATACATTCGTTATTGTAGACTTAGAGACAGATGGAAACCAGCAAACCAGAGTCCCCCGTTCATAATTTGGATGGCCTCCAAGCCTTCCCGTCTCCGAAAAGTGCTTGCTGAGGCACTTCTATCGGGTGAGTGAATTCTACTAGGCTAGCAGGCAAACCTATGTGGTCGGATCCCAGGTGTACTTGCTCCTTTTGCTTTCCCTAGATTTCCCATTATCTCAGTCACATTTAGTGAATCGTTATTTTATTATATTTTCATTATTAAGGAGTTACCACCTGAGTCGATTTTATGGAGGACAACTGCCCGATTCTGCAGCATGAACAGGAGGGAGGTTTGGGAGCTTCCTGGCATGCCTCCAAGACAGGGTGGCTCAGGGGGAGCCAGATTTAAGAACACAGCAAATAATAGAGCTCCCTCCGTTCACCGTCCAAGTATGGATATGCTGGCATGGCCTCTGCCAATAGTCAACCCTGTGCTCAGGGATTATGAGCAACATTTCATGGTTACTTTTCCAACTCTCTCCTACCCCCCAAATCTAGCAGCTTCTCTTGGGTACCTGCCCTCGTGATACGCAGTAAAAATGAGGGAACAGGTTGACAGAAAAGGAGTGGGGCTGTTATATAGGTGGGTACGATGGTGACAAGGTGGACAGAAGGCTTCCAGAGAACAGAGGCAGAGTTGAGAAAGCAAACATCCTGACCAGAAGCTACCCATGGATCTCCAGATCCCTTACTCAAGGTCACTCTAGGGATTTCCCCACTTCCCGCCACAGCTGGGCCCCCTCCTACGGCTCTGACTTTCCAATCTCCAGCTGTCTTACCTGAAGAGTTTTGACTTTGCCCAGGATGTTGTCCTGTGACATTGCTTGAACTGTCTGCTCACTTTCTGCTCCCCCATCAGGGATAAAAATACTGTCATGGGAAAATGCCCGGGTTCCCATAGAATAGTTGAAGGACCTGGAATGCAAATCATGGGCTTCATTTTATTAGGATGATAAGGTTTCTTTTGGCAATTCAGTTTCCTGTTCCTCCTGATTTAGGGGACTCCCCCCACAACCCCAGTCTCGTTCAGAAAGCACTTCCGGCACTGTGTCCTTTTCTGCTGGGGGTCAGCCAAGTAGCTGGGCAGAAGAAAGGGTCTCCCAGAATAAAGCAGCATGTCGCCAGCACGATGTTTTAGAGCAGCTCAATGAGAGAACTCAGAGACAGCTACTGATCTTCAGAGGACCCGGTACCCGGCGCCCGGCAGGAATCCTCACTGGAGAAGCCCAGGTCCTGATGCGCTGCCACTGTCGGTTTTTGCCCAGGAGGTCCTGTCAACCAGCGCTTTTTATGTAACATGCAGATCTAGAAGTTAGAGGCCAGATTCTTTCAGATTACAAATCAAATTGTTAAAAAGATACGTACATCTCAAACAAAGACTTGACAAAGATGAGAACTGCTGACAGGGCCTACAGGTATAGCGTCTCGGGCTGGACTCCTAAGAGACACGTGTGTTAGGGCAATCTGATGAGCCTCGTGTGCAGTGAGCAAGCAGCTCATAAGGGGTAGGTACCCAACAACAAGCACTTTCCAGTTGATGGGTTTACGTCCAGGAGTCTGGACTCCCGCCTGATGGGGTGAACTGCAGGAGGGAAGAGGAAGCAGCGGAAACCAACCATTGCTTACTGCGTGGGGGACGCTGACCGCTCTCTGGGAAGGAATCCATGCCAAGCCTCTCACGGGGCTGGGCAGCATCACACTCTGTAAGGCAAGGCAGGCGCATTTCCATGATCCAGGCACAGGGCCGACTCCCAGGGGTGAGAAAGCACTTCTCCCTCTCCCTTCCTTAAAAAGGGGTCCCACCTTGAGGTTTTACCAGTGACCAAGTGCCAGCACTGGGGGAAAGGCGCTCCAGCTGGTGGTTCTAAACTGAGTTACAGACAAGCAGCGGGCAGGGTCCTGACACAATCTAGATGGAGTGAGGAAGACTGAGTACCAAGGCCCATCTTCTCACTTGCCAAATTACAGGCAGCATGGTAAAAAAGCACATGCGGTTTAGAAACAAAAGACTTGGATACGAGCCTCCTGGCTGGAAGATCTTTGTCAGTAACAGTAATAGCCACACCAACCCTCACCTCAGTGAAACACTGTGCCAAGAGGTTTTACTTTCATTATTTTGGCCCCAACCCCTTGTTGCAGATGAAACTCAGGGGTAAATAACTCTATCTAAAGTCATCCAAAAAGAAGTAGTAAAATGAGAAAATGAATTCAGAGCTGCTGAGTACAATTTCTCACCAGCCAGCTGAAGGGTTTTAAAGCAGTGGCACGTCTTAGAGTCTTCTCTTGTGAGTGAAATAGGGTGTGGGTGGGCCAGCAGGAGGGGAAATGCCACGTGGGCTGGAATATGGGAGGATTCGAGATACTAACTGGCTGGAAGAACCGGTAAGCTTTCAGCTACATAACACCGGATACTATACAGCAACTCATTTTATGAAATATGAGGCATTGTTTAGGATATGAATATGGAAAGAATTAAATACATCATTATCTCCCTGTCTTCAGAGACTCTGCGACCTATGTTACAAAATGAACATCCAGGTTTACCCAAAAGAGGCTATAAAATAAATTTTCCATTTAAAGTTATGGAATCAGATCTTTTAATATTCTGTCTAAACTTCTCTCTCAGACCCCTGGCTATGATTCAGATGCGAGAATTGCTAACTGACTGCATTTCTACACAGTGTTTTTACAAGTGGCTTATATACATACACATGCTTTCAAATATTCTTTTTTTTTTTTTTATTTTATGATAGTCACAGAGAGAGAGAAAGAGGCAGAGACACAGGCAGAGGGAGAAGCAGGCTCCATGCACCGGGAGCCCGATATGGGATTCGACCCCGGGTCTCCAGGATCGCGCCCTGGGCCAAAGGCAGGCGCCAAACCGCTGCGCCACCCAGGGATGCCGCTTTCAAATATTCTTACAAACACATATATATATATACAAGCCTAGTTTGAAGCTTAGTAAATGTTTACTTAATAAATGTTTACTATGGTTGTGTGGCCACATTACCCTTATGCTAGGCCAAGTCCCATTCCAGTTTTTAAGTCAACTTTGACTGAATCATGAACTTTATCTCCCTGGTCCCATTCTTTTTCCAGGTAGGTTGTGTTGCGTCAAATGTTGCTTGCTGTCGACCACGATTTAATGTCTACCCATTCCCCACTTCCAGATAATTATATTGAAAAACAGAAAATGAACAGTAACAATAGCAGTTGTAATAATTACAATAATAGTGGCAGTCACAATGGTAATATTAATACTGGCTAAACTTTATCAGACACTTGCTGTGTCTCCTGCATATGTGTTAACCTCTTCAGTAAAATGTCATATTTCAACTTTATGTGGTAGGCACTATTATGAAGCCTATTTACAGAAATGGTGATTAAGGCTTGAAAACACTGGGTGACTTGCAATAAACTAAGTGACTGTATATATGTGGATCTGTTTCTGGCCTCGTCCCCATTGGTCTACTTGTCTATTTTTTACAGCAATAATCCCACACTGTCTTAATTACTACAGCTTTTTAATGAGTCTCAGTAAATAGTAGTTTAACCTCTCCATTTCTGATTTTTTTTGGGTCAAAATGGCTATTCTTATCTCAGCATTTCTGCATAAATTTACATACATACACACTTCAACACATTCCTAGAATTGCTTTTGTGATATTAGATCTACAGATAAGTTTTGGGATAACTAACATCTTCACAATATTTGATCTTATAATCCACGAATATCAGCCCTTCATTTGTTTAGATTCCACTTACTTTCTCTCAGTATTTTGTAGTTTTGTGTGTAGAGGTCTTATACATATTTTGATAGATTTATTCCCATATATTGATGTTTCTGAGAAGACTAAATGGTATAACTTCAAATTTTTATTTTCTAATTGTTTATTGGTGGAATATTAAATTACAATTGTTCTTTATATATTGTTCTTAAAACTAGACTTAGCTAAATTTATTAATTATAATCACTTAATTTGATTCTTTTGGATTTTCTATTTACACAATCAGGTTGCCTGTGACAAAAGACAGTTTTCTTTACTTTAAATCCTTCTTTCTTTCTTTCTTCCCTCCCCCCCCCCTTTTCTCTTTTCTTTTTTGTCACATAGCATTATCTAGGAACTTCACACAAAGTTGAAGAGAATTGTGATGGTGGACTTTGTTATGTTCTCAAACTAAGCAAAAATGCATTCAATATTTTACCATTAAGTTATGCTGTAACCTATAGAGGTTTTTTTTTTCTATAGTTTTTTTTTTCCTATAGAGTTTTTAAAGGCTATATCACTGCTTCTTTGAAAAGACAGGCAGTCTATCATCTTTTTTTTATAGTTGATATGAAGATTCTTCTCTCTGCATTGGTTTACAGCAGTTTTACACAAGCTAGTGTGAATTTCCTCTAATTTATCTAGTTGGAGATACATCATACTTCCTAAACCTATTGCTTGGTGGCTTTCATCAGTTCTGGAAAATTCTCAGCCATTATTCCATCAAATATCACTTCTACCCCTTTTTCATTTATTCCTCCTCTGATTCTCTGGTGTTAGAATGCCTCCCCATGAACCAGATGTCCTTATGCTGTTTTCCATATCTGTCAATTCTTTTTACTCAATCTGAGTTAGTATGGATTTTTCTACTGACCTAACCTTCAGCTCCTTAATTCTCTCTTTAGCTGAATCTAATCTGCTGTTAAAACTATCTATTGAGTGTTTACTTTCAGTAGTGTTTTTCATATCTATAATTTCCATTTGATTCTTTTTAGTAGATTCCAGTTCTCTGGTAAAATTCTCTATCTTAAAAAAAAATTCTCCATCTTGCCAACTATTTTACTGACTGTATTAATCACAATTATTTAAATATCTGAAACTCCCAGTATTTTTATCATCTTTGGGTCTACTTCCATTATTTTTTCTCATATTCTGTTTCTCAACTGCCTGTTAATTTTTTGATTGAATTCTTTTTTTTTTTTTTAAGATTTTATTTATTTATTCATGAGAGACAGAGAGAGGGAGAGGCAGAGACACAGGCAGAGGGAGAAGCAGGCTCCCTGCAAGGAGCCTGATGTGGGACTCGATCCTGGATACTGGGATCACACCCTGAGCCTAAGGCAGATGCTCAATTCAGGCGTCCCGACTGAATTCTATATATCAAGAATGGAATACTGTAGAGCTGGGTTCTCTCCTTCCAGAGAGGATCCACCCAATCTGCTAGTCATGTGGAGGAGCAGAGCACCTTAATCCAATCAAGGACTGACCTGATCATGGCTAATTAGTAGTCTTTGTAAGGCTCAGACTACCTCTGCTTTGTCTCCATGTCTAGGGTATAGACCTCCTGTTGTCATCTCAACTGACAGCCTAGGCTACTTCCTAAGGTCCCCCTCCTTGGTAGGCTTCAAACCCCAATTTTCATCTTTTCAACATCACAGACCATCTACAACTCTGACCTGCCTTTCAGTCTCCATCCCTGTGCAGCTTTATCAACAAATTCATCAAAAGGAAAACTATTGCCTAGATTTAGACTCATTCCTCGGAGTTTCTCTTCTCTTGGGGATTTTAATTCCCTCAAGTCCTGGCTATTTCAGCAGCTGCAAACTCCAGTTTTTGTATTCTAGGCTCCAGGAGATTGCCTACAGCTCTGCTGTCTTCTCTTCCTCTTGGCAGCAATGCTCAGGCTTCTTGGTCTCCTGTCCTCCACTAAGGGTCAATTAATGCCCACAGGGGAGAAGCTATATGCAGAAAGTTGGGCTCAACTCAGTGGACTTCTATTCTCTCCAGTATCTCACTGTTCAATTCTGGTGCACTAGCAGCAATCTGATGCCTTCAAACAGAAGTCTTTGTTTTAATATTCTATCTGCATTTCTAGTTGTTCTTGGTGGGAGCACTGATTTGCTACAAGCTACTTCATCACAGCCATAA